CTAGTGTAAAATAACGTTAGATGTCGTCTTTACGTAGAGATTAATATAAATTGATCATCGATCTGTGTATAATGAAATTGTATGTAGAGAAAGGATCTTTAGAGTTGATTCTTTCATTCTTTTTGACAACGAATTTCCGAATTTATCTAGCATCTATCTAGAACGATGTGGCCTACGATGACATTAGGAAAAAAAGAAATAATAAAGTAGAAAAGAGATTGTACGTCGTCTGATCCATTATATAGGCATATAAAACATATGATTCCATAGTAGAGGATCTTTTGGCCGTGGTCCTTTACACGCAGGGAAATACTTGCAAAGAGTTTTACGCTCGAAAGAAGAAGAGAGAGAAGGGGTGAATGCAACGACAACGAAATTTCGAAGGAATATGGTTTTTTTTCTTTTTTTCCAGGAAAATGGCAAAGGAAACACCAGAGAAAGCACATCGATTAAGCAATAATAATGCTAATAATTATGAAGATAATAAAAATACATACGCGTTAAAAAAGTCGAGATGAATATATGAATATATGTAAGTTAGAAAATATTTGTACGTTGCAATCGTTACGATCGATCCTTTTGGATCTTAGCAACCTCGATTATTCTTCGCATGGACCAGAAATTCATTCGTTTGATCAGGACCATACACAGTTTTCATCTGTATACACACTGTGTCTCATTTGACTCGAAAAGAATCGATGGATTTCATGTGATTCGACCTAATGAGACACCTTGTATAAATGAACTAGCAATTTAAACATAATATTATACGACATATATGTATATGTATAAGATATCTGTAAAGATTAAGAAACGAGGTCTTAATTCAAGTTTAAAGTTCAAGAAGAAGGTCTTCCACGTACGCTTTTCTCACGTTTCAGAAATTCTTATGCTCGTCTTGTTGTCGTAAGAGAAACATTTTTTTATTGATAAGAAGAAGTTAAGAAGAAAAAATAAAAAGATCTTTGATGGGTACGATAAAGAGCGTTCGATAAAGCAAACTTTAAACATTAATATGTATAGCAAAGCGTACAGCACTTTTAAAACAGGCAAAATGAGATCGAAGAAGCAAGCTGCATTTATTATTTTGCGAGACATAACAACGCGCACATACATAAATATATTTTACGTATATGAACGTAAGAGGATGACGTATGTGTATTAAACAGCAGTAACAGCACCAGTGCGACAGGAGAAGCAGCAGGAATAAAGCGTTAGGAAAAGTGACTCAAGTTAAGTGCTTTTATATGTTTATCCGAGTACAAAGGGTGTACATAGGATACATATACACATATACGTATATACGATATAGATATGTATTATTTATGTAAGTGTATGCGTATGCGTGCGAGCGGGGTAAGCTTCGAAACGTGTGCTCGAAATTAAAAAGGTAATAAGAAAGTTATTGTATTATTACGGAATACGATCGTCGATAGGGAAAAGATATATATATCTATGTAGACATTTGAAATAAGATAGATGCGTTTTAGACTTAGTTGATTAAATGTTTTCTCACTCAGTCGTTCCAGTGCGATCGGACGAGGAATACATTTTCGACGTTTCTTACCAGAGGGAAGTCATCTTGAAAATGAGAAGAAGAGGGAGGACCAAAAAAGAGATCGAAAGCATGCTTTGATTACTTACGAATCGAAATATTGATTAATTCATTATTATACCAATGACATCGCTATACTTTTTCTTCTACTGTGATTATCATTTACTATTATCTTTATTATCATTATTACTATTATTACTATTATTATTACTATTATTATTACTATTATTATTATTATTATTGTTGTTGTTATTGTTATTGTTATTGTCATCAGTACTGACTTTCAATCCCATCACTGTGTGTTGCCTATCACTTTTATCATTACGTAAAAGTAATTTATAATGGAAATAGGGGTCTAATAAGGCGAAGGCTTCCGTATAATAACCCCATGACCCCGTTTTTCTCGCACGACCAAAGGATATATGTATACAGGGTATCTCGCCGATGGAACGACGAATCAAGTAAGTAATATAGTATATTATATCGATCGAAGCTAAGCAACGTGTTACGACGATTTCACCAGATTATCCTGATTATATTTTTCAATTCCTAAATCTTGAGCAGGGAAATAAAATACAAATAAGATAAATGGAATCCGGACAAACGCATTTATCGAGTAATAATATTCGAACTTCTCCAAATTGAATAAAAGGTTAAATAACATGTTGTTCGTGTTACTAGATATATAATAATAGTTTTCGGTCACGTAAGGAACAGGATAATTATCGACTACTAAAAGTTGCGTTATCCTATTAGGTGAAATAAATCGTTCTCTCTCTCTCTCTCTCTCTTTCTCTCTCTCTCTCTCTCTTTCGGTCGTTCTGCTACGATATATATCACGACTCGAGTATTGAGAATAAGGGAAAAGGTAGGGAAGAAGGTCGTGACGTTATCCCCTTAATATCGGTCGCATGTTCTCTCTCTCTCTCTCTCTCTCTCTCTCTCTCTCTCTCTCTCTCTCTCTCTCTCTCTCTCTCTCTCTCTCTCTCTCTCTCTCTCTCTCTCTCTCTCTCTCTCTCTCTCTCTCTCTTTCTCTCTCTCTCTCTCTCTCTCTCTCTCGTGCACATTCGGTGCGTTTCGTTCGAAGCGAGTTTAATACCTTGACACGAGAAGACTCGTGTCCTCGAAGGTCATCCAGGCAGATTTACAGGCTTGGAAATGCCTGTCGTTGACCCAGAGGAGGGCGAAGGAACGGCTCTGGATGGTGGAGGATGAGGGGAAGGAGGGCGTGTGTATATATATATATACATATATATATATATAGAAGGGAGGAGAAAGCAGATCGATATTGAAACCCCCTGGGGTATACACGTTACCTACGCTCCTGTCTGCTAAATAGCAGCTCGACCTGAGAAAAGGCTGCTTCAGGGAATATAGACCGTGTGTGTGTGTGTGCGGCTTTTCTCTTATAGCCTTTCTATCGTCGACGAGGAAAAGGAGATAGAGAAAGGGGAGAACGGTCGGACAATCCTAGATAAATTCTTTCGTATGTCGAGCCTTTTTATTTTCTACGAAATCGATTGCACTACGCTATCCGTGGTCGCTTTTTTAATACCTAGAGATCATATTTTAGCGCTAAACTGGATATTATTGTTTGTCGAATATATATATATATATATATTGTATGTTAAAAGCTCAGGATTTTGTTCGATCGTGGCATATTTTCGTTCCACACACACGCACTTTCCTGGTAGAAAAGAGGGTGCGAGAGGGCGTTTAACGCAAATCTTCTCGCGGACACACCCCTGCCCTGACACGAGCGTCCTCCTACTCTATTTCCTTCCTTTCTTCATCTCGTGAAAACGCGAGAGAAAAGGGAGCGAGTTCCGATGGCTCGTTTATTTATTCCTTTTTTGCGCGGGGATAACGCGATAATTGCGATATCGCGGTTAATTGGACGAATTTTAAAAAGATATGTCTAGTTGAACGAGCTTGGATGAGATTTTTTTAAGTAATTTTTTTGCTTCCAACGTATTGATACTTTCGTCGAGAGATAACTTTGTTTTATCATTATAAAAATGCAAACATTTGTAGACTTTCATAGTATTTCCTTTCGAGAAAAAAAATACACGTAGTCACGAAAGTTTTTCTTTTCTTTCTTCTCCCTTTTTCATCGCGGACACTCTCGATTTTGCTCTGTAATATTCCGCGTACGTCAGCTCGAGGGGCTTTTCGAGGATTTCGTTATCACTTTACTACGACGTGATATTCAATATAGCCGACTGCATTATGTAGCGACTCGGACAAGACCGTCGTTGGCTTGAGCATGGAAGAGAAAAGAAAAAGGGAGAAAGTTGAAGCCGAGTAAAGTATGTCGTTTGCTGGTCTTGCATGCCAACTAACTAAAAGGTATACTCGTATCTAGAACATATAGAGTATCTTTGACTTTTCTTTCGATCTTTCGCGTATAAAAACTTCTGGATCGTTTTGAGTAATAAACCATCGTTCTCTTGAGCGTTAGAAAAAATGAGGCACGAAAATCGTATCGCAGATAATTTCCCACCGAACGCGTATTTCTAATCCATTTTCTCATTTCCCAAGTAAATGCACGTTTCCTGTAACTCGTTCCATACTCTTGTTTAATACTCCACCCCCTTGAGTGTAGGATCGGGGGAAAGAGAAGATGGCTCGAGAGAGAGAGAGAGAGGGGTAGGTCTCTTGACAAACGTTGAAAAGAAAGGGAGGAAGAATAACGAACGAGCGAGCGAGCGAGCGAGCGAACGAACGAACGAGCGAACGAGCGAACGAACGAACACGAACGGCAGGGCAAAGAGTCGCAGAGCTTAAATCTTTGATGCTGGAGGGCTCGCCTAAATGCCCGCTTCTTTTTCTACGGGTTTCTTCCTTTCTTCCTCGTACAGCCCAATGCAAAACTTAATAAAGGTAAGAAACGAGAGACATCGAATTTCTCTCTTCCCTCCTTTCTTTCCATCGAGCCGTATTAAGAAGATACAATGAGAAAATATCGATTTAATGAGCACTAACTTTACTATTATTCATTTTTATAATTTCGATTTCCTCGATAAAAGTGTCTCGTCCGAGACATTGAAAAACATTTCCCGTAGAAAAGCGATCGTTTTACGAGGGACGACGGCGAGACCCGGTTTCCGGTAAAAGAAGAAGAAGAAGAAGAAGAGAAGTAGGAGGAGGAGGAAGAAGTCGTATCGAAGAAAAAAGAAAAAAGAATTCCCCAAAGAATTCTCGGTACCAAGACGTTTCCTTATATCTCAAGGAAATATACTGCCCTCGTAAAGGAGAGAGAGAGAGTGGATAGAAAATTGCAGCTACGTGTAGACTATCGAGATAGTACGTACGAGACACGCGACATCTCCTACTCCGCTAAAACGGACGAGCTCTTCTTCGTTCACGAAGAAAAGAGAAAGGGAAAAAAGAAAAACGAAAGAAACAGGCAGTCATGTATCCCTCTTTATCTTTCTCTCTCCGGGTACGTTCTTCGTGTCTTTGCCCTAAACATGTCCGGCTCTGCCGTCGGCTCGACGATGTTTTAAAAATAAACTCACGCTGGAATATCGTTTCGACCGTCACCTCCTCCCTCCGTATCCTCTATCACCGCCGCCGCCACCGTCGCCGCCAACAGCAGCAGCAGCAGCAGCATCAGCATCACCTCAACCATTACTATCCAAGCTACGTCTCTCGGGCAGCGCTCTCGTCGCATTCGAAATGATGCTTTTATCTCGATTGAACCGCGCGCGAATTCCATGGCCGAGGCTTTTCTCCAATTAATATATCGAATTTCCTGGCACTTGAAGGATTTTATCGACGAGAATCCTATGAAATATACCGCCGCGATTCCGTAGTCTCAACGCAGTTTTCTTATTTTTTGACTTCCCAATCATTTTTTCGCCGTACAACGAGATAAATCGTGATTTTTGAGCAAAATTAAAACTTTGGGAGCTATCCGGAAGGAAATTTTACTCACCTCCCACGAATTTCTGTTAGATAATTTAATGTTCTTGAAAAAGTTCCAGCGGTAATGACGCTGAAACTGCGAATTACATTCGGCCTGTTCCTTGTCGTTCGTCATTGCGGCATAAACGTTGAGATTATACAATCGATGATAAGATGAAATAATAATGAGACTATTATGCGTGTCTTTATCTCTCGTTGAAACGTGAAATTACGCGTCGTTCACGATTAACAAAACAACGATCCACGTTTTTCCCTTTTTTTTTTTCTCAATATTTTTCGTCAGATAGGAAATTGACTTTTTCATTCGTAATACCCCCGATTATTTATTCTCTCTGTCTCGCACGTGATTGGTCGATGCTTTTATAATATCTCAACGTAGACGAGATCGGTGATGATGCAAGAAAGATCTTTAAAATTGTACGCGTGTCACAATTTGATATTTGTTAACGCGTCATCAAGGATAACGTTCTCGCTCGTCGTTCTTTTATCATGCAAAACTAATTGATATAGCGCATTAGAAAGTTTCGATATCAGTTTCGCTCTTACCGGGATTTTCGCATAGAGAACTGCGTGTACGCTTAACTACCATTGGTCGTGTACCAGATTAAAAATTTCATATGATCAGGAACGTTGCAAAAGATGGCGCTAAGACATAAAAGTATTAAACATTATTATTTTACGCACATGTACCTAACATTTAAATACTCGAAAAGATCTTTCAATCTCATTGGTTAAAGCGAACGAAATAAATCAATTCGTTGTTTAAAAAGTTTTCTGTTCCGTTGCGTTGATTGGTCGAGCGATTGACGGAGGATGTCGACATTTTTTTTCCACGAGGCGATTGGTCGCGAAAAAAAGATGGCGGAACTATTTGGATGCTCGTTTAAAGAAAAAAGAAAAAAAAAAAAAGAAAAAAAAATAAGTAAAAGCCGGCGTTGTCCGCGAAGAGGAAAGAAAGATCTTTTCTTTTCCCTACTCCCGTTTGGTCTCTCCCTTCCTCTGTGATTCGGTCGCTTTCACGTCAGGTATCACAAAGAAATTCCCATCTGGCTCGCACGCCGGCATCCACGAGACGAAACGAGCTATCTCGGTTGTGTTGTCGCGTCGTCGTTGCCGTCGTCGTCGTCGTCGTCGTCGATCGTCGGAGAGCGAAGGAGTGTGGAGAGAGTAGCGGGAGCTAATAAAAAAAAACCAAGTTGTCATACTGTGCCGTTTTAACGGAGCGAGAAAAGATTTTTGGCGGTAGTAAAACACGCGCATTCGCAAATCGCGAGAAATTGAGATATCGTGCTTTCGTGAGAGAAGGGAGATCTCGAGAGTGTAGACAAAGAGGAGGAGGAGGAGGAGGAGGAAGAGGAAGGTGAAAGTGAATGGACGGCGGTGGAAATAACCTAAAAATTATCGTTCTCGTAGGAAGGTGCGTGGAGCGATAAGAAACGTCTTTGAGAGGAAAAGGGAGGATGGTGTGTGGGTGTGTGTGTGTGTGTGTGTGTGTACACATATGTATACATGTATATATAGAGAAAGAGAGAAAAAGAGATAAATCTTAGAGTGACGTCGCGAATCGTTACAGGTGATCGTCATGAGCGTTTCACGATGTCGCATCTCGTACGCGTGACTTAGGAGATAGGAGAAGCGTGCAATTATAGCAAAAAATATGGATGCCTGTAACGAAGGCGTAGACCGGATAGGATCCTCCGATGATGCTACCGCGAAAAAAACTTGGCCAGAATTACGTGGTGTAGTTAGCGATTTGAGAAGAAGATTGTCAGGTGTATCGGCGGGATCAGTGCCTGGATCCATAACGTTTCGATCTTTACCCGATGGACGGTAAATCTCTTGCTTTTGACCGAATCTTTTTTATCGAATAATCAAATTTTTTTGTGTATTTAAAAACTCACTTCACGTTTTAGCACCAGAATATATTTTCTCAGTACTCCGAACAATGGTTGGGAAACTACACTTTTATATGTCGATATTGCACACTCCGATCATGCCAATGGGTATCGACTTCATTGGCAACCAGTTATAGAAGCAAATTTTCAGAGGTAAGACATTCGATAAGAATCTTTCATTCTTTCTTATAATCTTGTCGATTCTTATTTCTTGCTTCTATATGACTTCAGCGTATCCAGTACAAATAGATTGTCGAGGGAGGAGCAGCTGTTATGGGAAAGGAAGAGGCTAGCTACTTGGGGTATAACCAGTTATGAAATTCATGCAGAAAGTGGCAAGTTAGTTTTTCCAGCTGCAAGTAGTTTATATCAATGTATAGACACAGGCTTTATGGTAATTAACCTGAGATCATTCGTGGATTTATCTCTTTAAGGAAATAATACTCATCTATTTTCTCTTTGACTTTTAGCCTGGACCTTTGTTTCCATCAGAGATTAGAATATCGGCTTCTGGTGCTAAACTGTGTCCTCAAATTTGCCCGTGGAACAATGCATTGGTCGCTTATACTTGTTCCGGTGACTTATATTTGTCTCATAGCGTTACAGGATCATCCGTGAGATTGACTCATGCCAGAAAAGGGGGCAGAAGTTTAACCGATGATCCTCTTACTGCCGGTACCCCTTCTTATGTCATGCAAGAAGAATTTACTAGGTTTATAACTTTGATCACTTTATTACCGTATTATGCCTTAATTTTAATTTACCCTCTAACTGACGATCCATTCCTATAGGTATATAGGTTTTTGGTGGCAACCAAAATCTAACGATGGCATTTATAGAATAGTGTACGAAGAGGTCGACGAAAGTGACGTGAAAATCTTTTGTTTTCCCTCAACGACCAATTCCGAGGAAATAGATGAATTTAGATTTCCGAGAGCTGGCACGTCAAACGCTAGGAGTAATTTGAAAATGGTGCAATTCCGATTAACGGAAACTTTGCAGATAGTTGACGTTGAAATATTAGAACTTCAGTATCCGCTACAGATTATGTTTCCTTGGATGGAATATATGGTTAGAGTTGGTTGGACGCCGGACGCTCATTAGTAAGCAAGACCTCGTCCTAAACGCGCTCGCATATATATATATATATATAAAAGAAAAAAAAAAATATATATATATATATATATATATAAAAGAAAAAAAAATTATTAACAACATCCTTTGTCGTTAATGTCCTTCTTTTTTCTTTTTTTTTTTTTTCTTTCTTCTTCTTCTTTCTCTAAATAACAGCGTTTGGGTGCAGTTATTAGATAGGAAACAACAAAAGCTCGAACTGGTTCTATTATCGGTCGACAATTTTTCTGAGCCTCCTACGAGCGTATACAATACCAAATCTTCCTCTGCGAGCGTTCAGGTTTTATATTCCGAGCAGAGTACCGTTTGGGTGAACGTTAACGATTTGCTTTACTTTTTGCCCTCGGACGAACCAACGGAAGTAAAATTTCTTTGGGGCAGCGAGGAGTCGGAATTTCGACACTTGTATCTTATAACATCCAGCATAACTGGTATAGAAAAATATTCCTTCTTCGACTTTTAATAATAATTTTTTACTTGAACGATTGAAATCTCATTTATCTGACGTTCCTTTAGGTTTAAGCAATGGTGTAGAAGAATCATTGGATCGAATGGATAGTATCTTTTTACAGCCACGCGTTACATCGAAAATAGCATTGACGCAAGGCGATTGGGAAGTATTGGGTAAAAAATTGTGGGTGGACGACAGCAATTCTATCGTATATTTTTGTGGTTTGAGAGAGGGTCCGTTGGAACAACACGTTTATGCGGTCTCCCTTCGTCGGCCACTGGAAATAAGACTCTTAACGAGGCCCGGATATAGTTATAATAATATATATTTCAATAAGGAATGCACTATGCTAGTTACCGTCTACAGCTCCATCAAAACATTTCCTATATGCCAAGTACTTGAGATTATATGAAAAATCTATGAATTAATTAAGATATCTGTTAATTTATTACGTCGAATGTTACGTATAAATGTGTTTTTAGGTATTTAGGATATCTCAAACCGATTGGACGGTAGAGAGTATAACGCTTACTCCGGTTGGTTACCTGTTGGAACCATCTTCTCCCGAATTAGATTTATTTGCACCAGAGATTTATACCTATAAGATAATGTCAGGAGATACAATTTACTCGATGATTTTTAAACCTCATAATTTTCAAGCAGGAATCAAGTATCCCACGATATTAAACGTTTACGGTGGTCCGGAAGTACAATTGGTATCCAATACGTTTAAAGTGAGTACGATATGTTTCTCCCGTATTCGGTCGAAACTAATACCTTTACGATTATATAAAGGATTAATTATTCAATAGGGTATGAGACATTTAAGAATGCATATGCTGGCTGCGCAAGGCTATTGCGTTGTTTTAATCGATTCTCGTGGCTCGCAGCATAGAGGATTGGTATTTGAGAGTCATTTGCAACGTCGCATGGGAACCGTCGAATTAAACGATCAGGTCGAAGTTTTAAGATGGCTGGCCGAGACAACGGGATACATAGATTTAAATCGTGTCGCTCTTCACGGTTGGTCTTATGGCGGATATCTAAGTCTAATGGGTTTGATACAATATCCTGATGTATTTAAAGTACGTTCTCCCTTGTAAATTGTAAATTAGATGAGAGATTATTGTAAAATAATTTTGTAATGTTAATAGTTGGCGATAGCCGGGGCACCGGTTACATCCTGGAACTTTTACGACACCGGTTACACCGAGCGTTACATGGACCTTCCTCAAAATAATCCGCACGGTTATATGACTGGTTCGGTTTTAACATACGTTAGCAAATTCCCAGACGAGGAGAACAGACTTCTTATTATTCATGGACTTATCGATGAAAATGTTCACTTTTTCCATACCAGTCAGTTGATTAATGCTCTTGTAAAAACTGGCAAGCCGTATCAATTGCAAATTTATCCGAACGAAAGGCACAGCCTTCGAAATTTAGATGCTAGTAAACATTACGAAACTACGTTGCTATCGTTTCTACAAAATCATTTATGAACCTGTTTAAATTAGACACTGTTAGGTAAATTTTACACACCGATTGCTCGTTACAAGAACGACCTTTTTTAAAAATTTAAGTAACTGCCATTATTTTATGTATATAGAACTCTAACCGAATTAATCTGATCTGTCGCTATTTCTATATCTTCGCGATGGTATAGACAGGTATTCGATTTTAATCTCTATGTCAGCGTCAAGTATCGAGCTATGTTCAAGCAGTATTACATTTTTACTATGAGAATTTGCAATAAAGTCTAGACGATATGTATGTTTGAAACGTACGTATTGTTATTAAAGATACCTGTCGAATATTCCACAAACATATTGAATGAAAATAATCCACTGTCTGAAACGCGACATTGAATCAACAATGTTATTACTTTGTTATGGAACCATCGCGGAACATGTTATATACACGTATATAAACGTACACAGTCATACGTTTATTACGAAGGCTTACCACCATCTACAAATGTATTAATGATCCTAGATATTTTTTAAGAAAATCGACAATACTCGCAATTATTTTGTACATATATATACATATATATATATACACACATATAAATACGTGCGTATAATCAAACGTAGATCTGCATAAGATTTTTGTAGGGCTTTTACCCTAATTGTACTTAGAAGATATTTCTGCTCGATACATATATATGCGTGTGCGTGCGTGCGTGCGTGCGTGCGTGTGTATGTATATATATACGTATATATATATACATATATATATATACACACACACACATATATATATATATATGTATGTTTTCTTTCGGTTGTTATATAATTTTCTGCTTGATTATGTATATACGTGTGAAGCTGTCAAATCTTTTTACAGTAAATAATTATGAAAAGTATTTTAACGATAACACTATTTGCGATCTTGATCATTGTGAAATTATCGTATATCCGATGGATAATCATTTGTCAAATAAATAAGATTCGCTATTTTATACTTTGTACGATGTTCGATGATGGCACACGAAAAATAATGTTATTTCAGCAGATATAAGTGACTTCTTCAATTGAAATTCATTTATCTTTTTATTTGATATAACAAATTATATCATTAATTTCTTATTGGTTTTTAGAGAATCCAGTTTTAGTCTTCCTGTTTAATTTCTTATATAGATATCTTATCCTCTTTTGCATTTCTTTCCATTTGGTCGGTCTTGCGATAGGGAAGATACCAGATTTCCACATCTTCCTCTTTCTCAATAATATTTTATATTCGTTTCCTTTAACTCCTCTTAACCAAGATGGTACCTTGTAAAGTATTCTTGTAGGGTGCAAATGTTCAGATCCTAGAATATCGATGTAATCATTTTGTCCAAATAATGCTCTCTTCTCTTGCCAAGCGTTCACCGGACGATAGATCGGCATTGGAAGTCTGTTCGTTCCTCCGGTATGAGGCAATAATCCCTTCATATCTATCGGATCTTCGTAACCGTATCTTCGTATCAACGGACCTCTAGCAATTTTGTCTGCATGATAACGATACCGTACCGTAGTCACTAGCGGGCTCCAAGTACGTATAGTAGTGCGTATTGTATTTACGATGAACGACATTGCTGGAAAAAAGATGAAACATTTTTTCAAATTTTCCATGTAAAATATGTTTCATAATAATGCCGATCGGAGATACTATCGTGCGTATAATTGGATACACTACTAGCTAGCATTTAAAAAAGTCTTTCCGATGTCTTTTCGTCAAACATTCTCGACTTAACCTCACTTCATTCGAATCATACGATTCGACTTCATGAGTGTAATGCATTTTTAAAAGTTGCAATCCAACGAACACATTTTATATTTACAAGCACATACCTTTTTCTCTTGATGCTTAAATCTATTTTCCTTTTTCTTTTTTATCGTATTATCGTCTCGTAATGATCTATATAATTATAACACCGTCCATCATCTTTTATCACGTTGTTACGATTTGAATACAGAGTGCGCTAGTGCTACAATGGCAACCAACTTTAAAAAAGAAAAATTCGAAAAAGAAATGTAATATTTCTTTGGCGCAATAGTTGGTTTTATTTGAAAGAGGAGAAAGAGAAAGAACAAAAATTGTATTTTCATATACAAAACTTTTGTATTGTTTTTCTATTTTACTAAAGTCGTAACAATGCATTTTTATGTTAATTACGCTATCCGTGTTACGATTATCGTCGATACGATTAGCCCTATCGTTGTCGCTGCAACGGACGAGCCTAAAGGAAAGAAGAAGAAAAAAAAAAAGAACAAAAATAAGGAAAAAAAGTAGTAAAATACTAACGCATAAGAAAAATTAATAGGGGCTAAACCAATTCCCCATTAACCTTTACTGCACCGAGGATCGTTATCTCTGCAAACGCATTCGTCATTTTTACATTGCAAAACATTCGGCGTACCATCGTCGAGGAAACACTCGTAATCCTTGGTACATGTATTATATCGGCCTTAAAAAAGACGATTATCATTATTATCATATTTTTAACGAGTTATTTATCCTTATTATGGAGATGAAGGGATTACCACGAGCCTGAATGCATTTGCCAGTTTCGTTGACGAAACGAAGGCCAGTGATGCAACGACATTTATTATCGATGCATATTGCCCGTTCCATAGCTTCCTCGCAGTCGTCCCTTCTCTGACAAGCATCCCCTTCTTTCGATGGTCCTAAAAAGAGAAAAAAGAATGTAAGAGTAATCATAATGTATCGATCGACGGAGTAAAAAATCTTAAGACGATCGAGTTACGTTCAAACGTATCGATTGAGTTCTCTAATCTTTTTTCCTATTTTTTCAAAACTTTCCGTCGATTGATAGCGATAAAAACGCGAGCGTATTAGCTTACTACTTATACAATTAGACGAATTGTTTATATCCAGGGTAAACGCGTCTTTGCAACTGCATACATTTTGACGACAAACTGCATTGGACATTGTAGCGCAAGCAGAGTCATCGTTGCAACTTAATCCGGCTGCTGAAAAGACGAAAGAAACGTACCTTTTTTGTTGGATCCTTTTAATCATCGTATCTAATTAATTCGTACTGAAAGAATCTCTTACTGGCTAGACAAACTGTCTTCTCAGGATTGGGTGAGTAATATTGCTCGCACTGACAGATGCGTTGACTACGGCAATATGCATTCTTGATGCAATTGAAGTCCCTCTCGCATGGATCCCCGAACAATACTATTCCAATTCGTTTGTCTACGATAAAAAATAATGATTAAGTTGATAGGAAACATTTGAAGATGCAAATGCAAAATGTTAATGCAATTAATCACCGAGAATACACTTAACGGAGCACTTACCTTCCGCTGAACATGAAAGAAATTCAACGATGATGACGAGACAAAGGAAAACAACAACGTGTCGTCGCATAATCGTTATCATCATACAAGCTCTAAGGATATAAAATAACTTGAACAAAATCTTTATCTAAAATAATTTGATATCTCAATCGCGAAACAATCAGAGCATCGTGTTCGGCTTCTTCGACCGAATGACGAAGATACAAACGTTAAATTGACTCCAATGCCTGCACACCTTTCCATGATAATGCTTATCTCTTTATCTATCTCCTTTGCTATATGTATATATATATATATATATATATATATATATATGCACATATATATTTCTAACGAACATTTTTTCTTCTATGTTAATGTGCAATTGGGAAAGATTCAACCAATATTTCGATCGAGGCTCGCTAATAAGCTCTCGGATAAATGCATCTTGATCGAAAATGAAGCCTTTCGTACGTTAGCAGTTTTTTATTGTCGGTAAAATTATAATTTATGTACGTATAAAGGTCATCATAAATAGCACAGATATGAGACATACAAAGTTTCTCCTATGTGGAACGACGAAACTTGGAAATTGTTTGAAATCAGTGAGCATAGGAAATACGAGCTTTTATCTATTCAACGTTGGCTGTCACCATCCAGAAAACTTTTGAATCAGGCGGAAATGAAGAAACGGAGAAGGATAAGAACGCGCGCGAGGTCTTTATCAGTGATAATACTGACGATAATTTCTTCTTTTTTCTTAATAAATCTCATTCCGACGTATCGCGAGATCGATTTAAGAAGAATTGATGGACAATAAACGTGGATGACATGCTTCACGACTTACGTCGATTGTAATCGACGTAGAAGGTCGCATAGGAACGTAGGTATATATAAAATTTAGATAACATTAATATTTGATCTCCTTCATTTTTGATTTCACTCGAACGTAATAGGAATAATGGCGGCGACGGGGAGAGGAGAGTGGATCCGACCTAGGTAAAAGCTTCGAAAGAGAAAATTTATCAATTCTCACGTATGCGCAGGGATAATCTTGTAACGGCCCGTTTAAAATAATCCGTATCCATCCGTAACGCACCGACGTTAGCGTAAATAAAAAAGCTTTAAAAGTATTTTCCATATCGACGTATATGGGATAAAACTATGTAGATGATATAAAAAGGTTGAAGTGAGGTTTCGAAAAAAAAGGAAAAAAAGGATAGAAAAAAAGAAAGAAAAGAAAAGATAAACGTTTCTAAACATTTTTGCCAGTTAATATAAAGTGAATCTTCGTTTGGGTCGAATGGGACACCTTGTATAAGAATCACAAATGCTGATGCGAAGTAAATAGTGAAAGAGGGAGCGAGAGAAAGGAAGAAAGATAGAGAGGGAAAGTCAGAAGGCAACGCGAGAGAGTGGGAAAAGACCTTCGTAAGAGAGAACTCGGATTCGTATTCCACCAGTCGGATGCCATCTACGTTGGAAACGCCTTCTGTCCTGCAAAAGTAAAAGTTTTTTTTTTTTGTTTAAAAAGAAAGAAAAGAAAAAAGGAAAAGAGATCATCGACGATCGCCATTGTCATCATGAAAAGTTATCTCCTTCTCTTTGGTATTTTCCTACTGATCGATCGTCCGATCGATGGTCTAAACATCGGTAATTTTTTTCTTACATCCTTTTTGTTGTTTGGTGCACGTGTATATGAGTCATTGCATTGAAATTTAATCGAGCATTGCTGCTTCTTATCGTCTTTAGTTTGCATCGTGCGTCGGATGAAATTCAAATGACTTTAACGGGCATGGATCTCTTTCTTTTGCCCAGTCTTGCGAACCGGAACGTGTTACGGTAATCGATCGATAACAACAAACATATTATCGCGGCCTCCGGATAAATCATACACGTCCATCCATTTTTCTCTTTTTTTATTTTCTTTTCCGCCTTTAATCTGTCATAATATTTTTAAAAGATTTTTCCTTCGATATAACTTTTCTTCCGTACAAAATATGCCTAAATATATTTATTTATATACGGCGGCTACGATCATTTCTACTGCAAGAAAATTGTTCGTTGTAACGTGACATTGAAGTTTAGTCACCGTTAGTCAACAAAGATTTAGTTACAGTTATTTGTTATCGGTTCAGATAAATTTATCCAGAAATCGACATAATCGGCGTATCGACATTGTGAGTATCGGTATTGTGAGGTTAGGACAGTCGTCGATCGAAGAAAAAATTGTTTCGAATAGTTTAAGTGTTATGGTTATATAGTTGATCGTTGAGTTAATTGCGCTGCGTACAACTCGCAATATCCTTGAAGAAATTAAAACGGTGATCTTGATGAGTCGACGCTAAAAATTTGTCTCGCGTTACTATACAACAACGTTCTCTTCGCGAGTTAATGTGAATCACTTGATTCGAACCTCGGTGAATTCTCGATTTACCTTATTTCCCGTTTCAAAGTTTTTCATGAAATCATTGATTACAGATCCATCCGTGCCATGTCACAAAGATACCGATTGTTCCCTATTTTCGAAAGATCAGAAGAATTCGACGTGTCAGCAAGGATTCTGCGCTTGTGAAAACGAGCAAGGACAAATAAAAAATTGTTCCAGGTTACAATTAGCTACTCAGCAAGAAAAGCCAGCCGGTATTTCCAATTGTGAATCGTTAAATCTTGAACGATTTGGCATCTGGTTAATTCCTCGTTTGTCGTGTTTCAGTATCGGCGATTTATCACACGTGCAAGCACGAGGTAGACTGCAAGTTAAATAATAGTTTTTGCAATACAAGTCGAAGTCAGTGCGAATGCATTAAAGGCTATGTGTCTTCGACGGATCAGCAGCAATGCCTTCAAGGTGAGGGGATTTGTGTGTAAATAAATAATCGGCAATTTTATTCGATTTCGATTTTTTTCTACAGTGGCTAAATCCTTGAATTTTTCCTGTACGGAGGATAAGCAGTGTTTGATATTTCAAGCGAATACGACCTGTCTACGACAACAATGCGTTTGCATCGATGGGTATCACGCGGTGAACAATGTTTGCTGGAAGACCACCGGTAAGAAGTTACGCATGAAATTCGACCGGGCTCGTCGCTAAAACGTCTTATCTTCCATTGCTTTTATTTACTCTCCCTCGGCCTCTTCCACACACACACACACACACACACAGTTTTTGGCGATCTATGCTCGAAATCGGAGGAGTGCTATCACATAAGGGGAGCCTTTTGTACGGATAAGAAGACTTGTGGGTGTAACGAGAAAGCCGCGATCGATAAGTCGGGAAAAAATTGTATTCCTTACGCGGACACCATCGACGAACATTGCACAGAGAATGGCATGTGTTCTACGATCCCTGGCTCGATCTGCCTTGAGAATAAATGTCAGTGCCCAAAGAACAAACATTTCGTGAAGGAACTCGGACAATGCATCGTTAGCAGAGGTGCGTTCGTCTAAATTATAAAATAGTAATTCATTCGTCAACGAGATCGATCCTTCGACGATTATAATGTATTTGATTGTATAGGCATCGGCGAGCCTTGCCAGTACGATTACGATTGTTACCTGGATGAAAATTATACGAATATGGAAAGAAATGGGTTTGTATGCGTTGGCAGCTTGTGCGATTGCGCGATAGATTATTTTATAAACGGAGACAAGTGCATTAACGCAGGTAAGAAGAAACGAAGATTAATAAAAAAAAAAAACAAAAAAGAGGAGATGAAACAAGTTGCGAATCTTCTGTTTCTTTCTTTTTTCTTTTTCAGGCGTTCTTACGAGTTTCGATTCCTCTCTCATCGCGATCGTACTCTCGACGATCATTTACGGCTTTTACCTTCTAATAGATAACTAAACATAATTCATTTTTCCTCGAAAGAAGAAGGTTAAAATGAATTTGCGGATAGAGTGTCCAAGTACTTAATTATTTTAATTTTCTTTACTCACCGACGTACGTGGCTATACGAACGAAGTAGAAGAAATTGTGGAGAAAGAAGTCGTTTGTTATGCGTAAAAGAAAGATAAAAAGAGAGGAAGCCTATATGCAGAAATGGCGAAAGATTTGAAAAATGTGCGGCGAGTATCGAAGCATTTCGTAATCGTCATCGACAATTTTTAACTTCCCTTAATTCTTCAGCTATTGTTCGATTTCGATTAAACGCTATTAAAACTTATCTTTATCTTTTATCGGTATTAAAAGAATAACGTGATACCAAAGAAAAAATTTCGAGTGGGAAGAAACTCTCGTTATTACTCTTCCTCTTTTTATTTCTTTTTGTTTCTTATGTTTTCTTTTTTTTCTTTCGTTTTTTCGTTTTTTCCCCCCATCGTTGCCTTCAAAGAAAGCAATAGAGAAAGGTTTTTGTATTTTATTCAGAGAGTATTATGCGTTTTATATTATGGTTATTATGCATATACATATATATATAAGTTTATATGTAGAAAGACAAATTGTTTACAGAGTGCTTTTATAAAACTTTATCAGAGCTTGATTTTTCTACGAAAGAGCGTTCAATTATTTTCTGATTCTGTGAATACGTATATTACGTAAGAGTTTTATGAAATATACGCGTATTCGTCGATATCGAGACAGCGAGAGAGAGAGAGAGAGAGAGAGAGAGAGAGAGAGAGAGAGAGAGAGAGTTATTAACATTTTATCCGTTTTAACAAATTGTCTATATCGTTTTCTTATAAATTTGTAAAAAGAAAGGCATCATTTTGGACGCCATCTTAAAATAGCTATTAACTCGTTCGATTTAAGAACAATCAGGTGGATTGAAGCACGAACGTAGAAACATCTTTGTGGACTTGGGTGCTACATAAAAAAAAAAAAAAAACAAAAAAAAAGAAAAAGTCCCACCACTTTCCACGTCTTCTCCTTCCACGAAAGACACATCGACACATCGCTACGATGACACATCGCTAGCGGCAATCCTATCACGGATGATTTTCACCTGGTATAGACGCGATTATGATTCCGTTTAGTAGTAGCGTCGAGGAAAGATACTCGTGAGAATTACTCGTAGAGACACTTGTACAACGATAGAAAGTGTGATACTATATAACTCTGCGGCAACGCGTTCTTTATCTTTCTCTCTCATAGACGATTAGATAAGATAGTGAAAAAAAGGCATTGCCGAAGAATCGTGGAAAGACGAACGAGAGACGTACGTGTAATCTTTCGTCGTTGAATAGTTATTTCGCATTGATTTATAACGAGAAAAGGAAAAAACGAAGGAATCTATCTCTATCTGGGATCACAGGGAGAAAGAAGAAATGAGGATGAGGAGGAGCGAGGGTGGAACGAGGAAGAAACGGTGGTGCTCTGCACCACTGCCGATTCGAGCGCCGGGACTTGCTGCCGCTCTACCGGTAGTCTTTCTATGTTTCTTCGCGCTAACATCAGTCGTCCTCGCGCACGGACAGCATCAACATCTTTTGCAGAGACGTGAGTGCGACGTGACTTAACTTTATTTCTTTATTATTCCTCTTCTTCTTCTTTTACTATTACTACTACTACTACTACTTCTTTTATTACTGCTACTGCTACTACTATTACGTTTTTTTATTTTATTACTTTATTTTTATCTACGAGAGTGTTCATGGTCACGTGGACACTCAGATCTTTAATCATAAGTGAGAATAAGTTTTTAATATCGTTTGTAACTTATCGGTCCATACGTTGTTGTCTTTTTATTCTCAACATTTGTGCAATTTCTTTATACTCGCTTACCAGCGTCGAGCAATAAAATTTCTTGTAGCACGAATTATATCGATTAACGTTAGTTCTCTCGAGGTCGAGAAGGAATTATCGATCCGAAAGGTTGTAAGACGAAACTCCCACCGGTACGTGGCAACCGACAATAAATTTTTCTAGCCGTTCTATACTCCGAAATGGTCGACCATTTTATAAAGATTTCTATCGAGCCGTGTATTTTCGATTTCGTATATTTTACATTTTTTCGTATTTATTCGATATCTCGCGTTAATCTCTCCGCCGTCCAACGGGAAGATAACTCGTTAAGATCATTGTGTTCCGTTCTCGCGACCCAGTAATTCTTTCTTCTTTTTCTTACGAGGAATCGTAAAAGGCCGAGGCCGAAGAAGAAGGCCGGAATTACGCTGTTGATTCTCTCCCGGTTAGGTGAACGTTTCGAACGTAGAATATAGAGGCTCGTGTCTGTAATTAGTTAAGTAGAAACGATGAGATCACGGCCCGATATTGATCTATTTAATTCTAATGAGTTTCGAAAGGGAAAATAGACGGAACCATTCCAGTATCTTTTACGAATAAAATCATTTTTATTTTCCTATCAACGAACGTCGAATTTACTCGCTTAGTCAATGAAGACTTATCTGATACGCTGACGTAATTCTGAACCGTAGACTCTTACAATCTTTTTATGTAAACATTGTGGATTATTCTTATGCATTTGACGACGACGACGACGACGACGACAACGACGGCAACAACACGAAAGAGGAAGAAAATCCTAATGGATAAACCCTCGTGACAAAAATGATGTGTCCGTCATGAGCGATTAACAGAACCGAAACATCGGGGGGTTAGGCATTTAATTATTTTTAAAAGGCTCCTTCTCCCCTCTCTCTCTCTCTCTCTCTCTCTCTCTCTCTCTCTCTCTCTTTATCTTACGAACGTTAATTCCAAAGCGCGGGAGATTCAAAAACGACACGACAATCCATTCTACTCTCTGTTGGAATGGACTATATGAGAAAAGAAAAATCACACCGATTAGGCGTGCAAATATATTAGGAACGAAGTCGTGTATGCACGTGTGTATGTGTGTGTATGTATGTACGCGCGTTGGGCGTCGAACAAAGCGCATAATCGTGTTGCGCAAGCGATCGAAACAATAAGAGCATCATCCATTGAAGGATCGGCCTTCGGAGAACGTCGAAGAAGAGAGAAAAAAAAGAGAGACAGATAGAGAACGTCCTCTTCACCGTGCGATTCGGATGTACGATCGTGAAAGAGGTGGAGCTGTCGAAGCAACAGGAGGAGAAGGAGGAGGAGGAGGAGGACGGTGCCGATGGAACGTTCGAAAAAGGACGAAGACGAGGAGGAGGCATTCGTAACGTCTCGAGAATGGTGATCGGTCTCTCGAGGATCCTCGTCCTCGTGCCCGTCACCGTTTGTGCTACCATTTCCTTACCCTTAGAGGATTATTCGAGATGCAACGATCGCAGATCGCCACCTCGTACGTAACGTCTCTGAGGAACTACCGATCTCTTGTTTTTTTTTTTTTTTTTATTTCCTTTCCATCCACGCGAATTTTTGTTAACACACTCGTTAACACACTCCTGCTCGAAATGAAGTTATTCCATCGGGGTAAAAAAAAAAGAAAAGAAAAAAAGAACGGAAAAAACTAAGCAAAGACACATACGTAAGAGCAAACCTAACAAAGGTCCTTCGATGTCTAGCCAAGTTTATTACTTTTTTTTTTTCAGAGACCCTAGCGACATGTCGTTACGATTTGGATTGCATGGAAAATGCTTACTGCTGGAATCAGGAGGCTTGCTATTGCAAAGACGGCTACGTCGTTTACAGAAATCACAGCAACTTCCACTGCTTGAAAGGTATCAACGCTACCTACCCCGTTCCCACGTTAAAAGGCATTAACATTTTTCATTGTTTCAAAATTAAACTTCTGAGAAAAAGAAAAGGCACGAGAAAGGAGACTTCTTTTTCCAAGATGATTCCTTTCGATTATTCTCGAAAGTTAATACGAATGATAATAAGAGGTAGTTTTACTCGAGGACGCAACTAAACCGCCCCAGAAACCTTTTGATAAATCGCCCTTTGCTCGAGCGTTGGTTGAATCGGTGTCGGCGACCTCCGAAGGTACAACGAGTCTCTTCCATCCTACCGATCCTTGTGTGTGCTCTTCCCTATTCCTACCTCGTCCCTTTCTCACGGTCTCTCTCTCTCTCTCTCTCCCGCTCCCGCCTCAGTCGGAGCGTATCGTCTCTCGTCCGTCGTGCTCGCCGATCCAGCAAAACTCAAAGAGAACGAAAGAAAGGGACGGAGAGTAATTTATATGTATGTATAAACGAACCGAGAAGTCTCCTATCGACCTCATTTAGCGGTTTTACGATTATTATTCTTTATCGTCTCCTTTATCCTCGCTTCGAAATCATATTCTTTTTTCAAATCTATACTTCTATGCACTCTTCTCATATATTTTCTTTCTTAGTGGCCGACAACATCGAGGATCCGTGCGTGGCTAATGTACAATGTCATTTGACCTTTACCCTCCACTCGGAGTGTCGTAATCACGTTTGCCAATGTTCTTCCACGGCACATTTCGTAAACGGAAGGTGTTATGAATCCATCGGTTGGTCTATTTCTTGAAAATAATCAAAGAACAATCAATATATGTTACAACCAATTCATATATTTCTTGTCCCATTATCAGGGCTAGGTAGAATATGTCAAACGAACAATAATTGTTACGTCAAGGACAGTTACTGCGTGGAGGGTTACTGCGTTTGCGATCATCGTCAACATTCGAATCCCGAGAGAACAAAATGCATAAAGAACGCTTGTGAGTATATCGCATACCCCGTTAAATATTCATCTTTCCACCTCATCTTCTTTCGTTTCTACGTTCTTTAATGCGTAATATCTACAATACCTTTCTACAGATTTAGGTGACAAATGCGACCACGATTACGAGTGCGTGTCAAAGAGCACAAAGTGCATGGAAGTCTGTAGATGTAAAATCGATTATGTACTTTCGGAGGATGGTACAAGGTGTTTGAAGGCAGCCAACTCCGTTGGCGAAGATTGCCAAGAGAACTTGCAGTGTCAGGAATTCTTACAGAATACCGTCTGTCAGAATAATATTTGTACGTGTATAGAGGATTACCATCGTCGTGGACCTGTATGTGTCAGGGACGTTGGTCGGTTTCACAATTCGTCGAATATAACATTAAGGAATATTTTTTAATCCGACATTTAATAGATCGTTCGCCTTTAGGATTGGGTCAACGTTGCGTCTCTCATAACGAGTGCGTGACAAGAACGTACAAGCATTCCAATTCGAGCGAACTGATGAACGTCGATTGTTCTAATGGTACGATATTTCATTCGATCAAAATTCATACGAAGTAGTTTGCCTCTTAACGTATTTTGATTTTTAAGATCGCTGTACTTGTGCCGAGAATTACATAATGTCGCAAGAATTGGACGATTGTATTCGATACAGTGAAAGTGGTAAAACAACAATAATATCGTCATTCTCTTTTTTTCTTTCGACTTTGTCGTTTCTCTTATTTCTTTCTTTTTAATCGATTATATTTTCAGGTGCCACCAGTTGGCAAGCTTATGGAATCTTCTCACTGATAATATTCGTAAACGTGTCTCTTTGGATGTTGCGAAAGACTATGTGATAGAGCCACTGCGAAGCACCTTTTACCCTATCCCATAGATAATTATTCTTATCATATTTATCTGTATTTATTTAAATTTTGTTCGGTGGTGAGTCGTGTAAATAAGTAAGGGACTTGCGGTAGGTATATATATATATAACCAAAGACAACGGACAGACAACAGTATACGTATACGTATCATCTCGACAAAGTTCGAGTATTTATTTTCAGTACTCGAGTATGAGAATTCTCTTATTATTATTAATCGTACCTAGGAGTAGGTATCGGACGGGGATCGACGGAAATAAGAGCGAAGGAGATAGAGAGAGAGAGAGAGAGAGAGAGAGAGAGAGAGAGAGAGAGAGAGAGAGAGAGAGAGGCTCTCCCTGTATTGCGAGCGATAATATTTATTTATTAAGAAACAAAAATAAAAGAAAGTTATTATAATGTATTATATTATAATAACTTATAATATTAATAAAATCAAGTTAATTAAGTTGGGAATTTCCAATTTTCCTTTATCATATCGAAAAATGGCCATTGGTCATGATCGGTATTTACAGATTTTTTATCCTATCGGTCAACGGACCATCTCTTCGATGATGTAGTCAAGCAATGAGATCGTTATCGTTATAGTTGACGGTCTCTTTTATGAAAAAGTTCAACGTTTGCATGATCCTAATAAATTAAATCCCATAAAATAAGATCCTCGATCATTCGAATTCCTAAAGACTTTAGATCATCTATTCGGTCCTATATTGCCGGAGAGCAGAGAGTGAATTCAGAGCACCTAATTTGTTTTTAATCGAAAGGGAAATCTTTTTTATTCTTTGTTGGCCCTAACAAAGTACCTTTTCCCCCTCCTTTACGAATTCAACGTCAATTGCAATTTTACTTTTTTGATCGATCACTATCTTCATCGCTCTAGAGAATTAAAAATTTGTTCTTGTCTTTGATAGGCCTCAAGAATGCTCTAGCACTCATCCTTCACTATATCCATTTCGTTGATTAGTTTGCATTTTGGAAAAACCTATGGTATTATAATCGATCAAATTGTAACCCAATTCCACGGCAGCATTCAAAAAACATTCTCTAAGTGGCGTATGGAACATTGAAAATTTATAAGTATCCCTCATGGCCGTGATATAAGGGACTTTATATAAGGGACTTTTCATTAGAACACCGCTAAAAGTATAATATTGAACGAGTTAACGCTTGCCTACGTTGCGTTTCGTATTTTAAATTCACCTCGTCGATCTATAAATCTACATTCAGAGATCTCGAAGAATTGTGCAAGAAACTTTACAATATTATGGCGAGAGAATTGCAATGGAAGAAGCTTGTCAAAGAAAGTTGTTGACGAGTAAGTGCAAATTAAGAGACGTGCGAATTGAACGAGGACTAGTTTGCCGTTAACTGTTTATAATCTTTTTCCTCCTAGTTCTCTGAGTAGTTAAAAAGTGCATCTGATTATCGAGAAAAATTCTAAGAACTAAAAGTATTACATAATGATACCTTGGTAGCGTCTGGGTTGCGTCTACGCCTGCAATATGGGGCGAATTCCTCTCGACGAATCGTTTCGAACGATTCAGGCAATTTTTAAAGAGTATGATTTTATGATAGTTGGCGCAGCTCCTACTAGTAATTCTTGCTAATAGATTAACGGAGAATCCTCGAAAGATATTACTGTTGGAAACGAAAGGCGAAGAAGAAGATCGGCTATATTGTACTTTTCAGATTTTCTGAAGTATGAAAGAACGTTCTCATTCAGGTTCTCATTTCCAAGTGCCGGCTAATCGTCGTAATCGATCGGCGATTCTCTCATATATCATAATGGAGGAATTTGCCCGCATAGCCGATACAACGGGTATTCTTTATCGAGAGGCAAATCCTTCTGTTTTAATAAATCTTTTATACGGACTCTTAAATAAATCGACTAGAGCAAAGAGATGTGGTATATCGGTCGGATAATTATCTTCTTCGCCATTTTCCAACAATAATATCTTCTACCGAGGATTCTCCGTTAATCTACTGCTAATAAGAAGAAGCAATTATTATAAAATTCTACTCTTTAAGAATCTAAATCTGTCATTCGAAACGATCCATCGAGGAAAAATTCGCCAATATTGCAGGCGTCAGGATAACTACACTGTTGCTATTCTCAGGAATGAAAATGTTACAAAGGCAAATTACCTCCTCATTCTTGAATTCTTTGATAATTTCGATTGGTCATCGCTCACGAATTATTAATATTTTAATTTTTCCTCAACCTTTACATTATACGTGTACATTGGATGAAAACCTTGTTTTTATTTTTTTTCGCTTCTTATTTAAATAAACAAGCATTTTTTCAAGATAATTATTTTTATTCAACTATATCAAGATCTATTGATTTATTGATTTCATGAATGGGTTGCTTTTGAAAACATAAGAAATGATAACGATTAAAATGACTGGCATAAAATTTCGCGGTCGTTCTTAGCACGATGAGTAAGAAGGAATAGGAGGAAGACGCAAACAATATGCTTTCGTCTATCGCTAACGAGGATTGATCGACGAGTACGTCGCGATTAAGATCGTACTGTACTTAAAATAGAATCTTGAAACGGTGATCGAACTAGGCCGACGATATCGATCGATGAACGATTCTGCTGACGTAAGAACGAAACAAAGTTACAAATTCGTTTTATTTCTAACATTTCGAAATAATTGAATTTCGTATTTCCATTCGAATATTATATTTCCATTCGAAAAATTATATTTCGTTATGTTATCTAGCCGATAAGCCTGGGAATTTATTAATCTCCGATTATAACGTTGATTGGACTTTAAAGAGAAAAGTTATGATTTTATAAAGAAAGAGGCAAAGAACAAAGGAATTTTTATCCAAACAAGATAAGATGTAAAACGATATAGTAAAAGGAAGGTTTAACAGGATAGAGAGAGAGAGAGAGAGAGAGAGAGAGAGAGAGAGAGAGAGAGAGAGAGAAAGAAAAGAGCATTTGTAGGGTGGGAGGGGGGAAGTGTTTCTCTCTCTTTCTCTACTATAGAAGAGAGAGAGAAATTTATATATACGAGGAGCTCGTGGCCGTGCAAGTCATTGTGAATCTCGTGTTCGCTGATGTAACTTCTCTCATATAGAGGCATTGCATAGGTACATATATTAATTCTTTTTATCTCATTTTATCTATTCGAGGCATCTCAATGAAATAAAATTGTTCGATTTCAGTGTAATCGACAACTCGTTCGATTTGTCGTCTTCTCTTAGTATCGAAGAAGAAGAAGAAGAAGAAGAAGAAGAAGAAGAAGAAGAAGAAAGCTTCGTAAAAGAGTAAGATGAAAAAAATAACGAAGGAGATAGATCATCATCGGCAAACTGGATTGCCGGAAATTATCTGAATTCAGTGAAATATTCGGCTAAAGTATGAACCGTAGGATTGTTCAAAATTGAAAGAGAATAGAGAATAACTTGAAGGTAATTCAAAATAGATTAAAAACTGTTTCTAGTTGCAACATGATTTCTGTTGTATTGCCTTGAAAATGTAAAATTGTCATTTATGATAAACGAATGAGATATCGATTGGTAAAGTATGCAAAAGACACCTGTTCGCCAGGAATGCTTTAACTCTATTGTCTCTCTCTCTCTCCCTCTGCCCCCTCCCTATGTTTCTCGTTAAACTTAGTAGATTAAAAAGTGTAAAATTAAATGGAAACCATTTTACGTTAAAGTTGATTATCGATGAACGAATATCAAATGTTCAGGTTTATCGGCATGCAGTTACTTGAAAAAAATTTTTTCCAAGATTCTTTGCTCAAAGTGAAAAATTTGGTGTAATTGTAGTGTCATAAATTCTAATGTGATATAATTTTATTGTTAGTTAAATGAAATTTCCGTAAAAACGAAAAACTTTAAACTTTCTTTTCTTTTCAGAAGGAATCTAAATAACAAAGTCCCTTAAGAAGATTGAAATAACAAATTCATCTGACAAAAAAGGAATCCGAGTTTTAATAAGGTGAGTAAAGAATATGAAACACATGAAAAATATTTAAATACTTTTGTTGAATAGAAATTAAATAATAATAATTGCAACTAAGTAAAGCCAAAAAAAAGTAAAAAAATTTGTTATAATCGCGATCGTAGAGTGCGAGAGCTAATTTTACTTTGAAAAAATGAAGTAACTCGATCCGAGACTCACGAGCTTGAGAAACATGAGAAATGAGGAGAGAAAGTAAGGAGGTGACTTCGAACTATACTATCTGTCATTGTCATTGAAAGACGGACGACGTGATTGGCTCTCGTATCGAGATATTGGCCGTGAAACGAAATTGATTCGCGCGAAATCGATTTCTATACTCGCAATCAGTGAAATATTACAAGAGCGCAGTTTTATATCGAGAACAACGTTGTTACTTCTAAAATACTAAGAAATTAAATTGTGTAAATTATGGCACGTCATTTATTTATATATCTTTATTTCGATCTTTTGCTTCTTTTTCTTTTTTATACGCAATCGTTGAAAAAAAAAAAAAAAAAAAAAAAAAAAAAAAAAAAGAGAGACGAGAAATTGTTATAATTACTAAAACAAAAGTAATTATTACGAAGGACTAGAGGCCTAAATAATCGTGCCATTAAAATAATTTGACATTATGGTGGCAATAATCAATCATAATCTACATATACAGATGTAGATTCTCCTGGCCTTGTCAAAAATACAACGTACTTTATACGATAACTATACGATAGTTATAATATTTGGATAAATAATACAAGTTATTTTTTTTGCCTTCTTTTCCAAAAATATCTGCTAAAATCTATCTCTACTTATTAGTACGTTGAACCGTTTTTTAATCGGACCTATACATAGAATCGAATTCATACTCCTTTCGATTTCACTACATTCATTCGAATTAATATATCATATTTGGAATACTTACAAGAATATATTATACTCTTAAAGTCCAGTGACAATTCGTACAAATCTTTTCATTGATTCCTCGTCAGAGAGATGATGATAAATGATGTTACTAATACTCGTAGAATCTTTTCTAATCGTCGTATATTTATTCTCATTCATCGTACGCTATCATTTTTCTCCTTTTATCGCACTACCGCCTCTCTCTTTAATGTACCAAATCGTTTCTGTAATCTCCATGGAATTTCACCAAGATTTGACCCACTAAAGTTTGTTGAACATTTTTCCATCGTTACATGAAAAATGAGAGAGCATGTGCGTGAGAGAGAGGGAGAGAGAGAGAGAGAGAGGGAGATACTTATTTGTAAATAGATATCTCGCGACATATAAGGACATATAGTATATGTAAACACATTATCGTTTCCAAAATCGTAGATATTTCCAATCTTTTGTGGATTTCATTCGCGATGATATATATAATTATTCTTCACGAGAGACAATAAATAGTTTTCAAATAAATAATTTATTTATTTTTCTTTATGCGTACGTACGCGTATGGAATTGGAGTGATTAGCTCGCAAATTGAGAGAGATCGATACGATGATTCATGTTTACGTTGGCCGATAGGAGGAAAACTTTTCATAATAAGGCCAAAAACTTTCCAATGTAGTTCTTTCCTCTCTATCTTTTTGGAAAATAACAATTACTTTATAACCATATAAGATGTTTTTTGATTCACGAAAACAAAACAAAAATTCCATAAACAACATCTTGAGAAAATGGGGAAATATTTGTCGTCTCTTTGTTATCGCGCAAACATTTGAAGACCTACTTATTTTTTTAATAGCAATAAATTATTTTTTAAATAGCAATAAATAATAGAGCATATAGATTATAGACATTTATCATCGGCTAAATGTCTAGACTTTTTTCTCGTTAATATTTAACCGATCCGTTTCTGTCTATAAAGGGTAGAGTCTATAAAGCGAGTATCTTGTCGGAAAATTAATTGCTTCAATCGTTTCAATAATCGTCCTCGAGAGCTCATCAATCTTTAGGGTCAAAGAATAAAAAAGATTGTAATGCAAATTTAAGCCGATGTAATATTAAATATATAAAATATCCTAATCGAGTTTGACAATGGCACTACGTGTAAATTAATTAACGTGCTTTTTACTGCACGTGTCTATCATTGAGTTTATCAATAAGTCCCGATCAAAGTCCCGTTCTTTCGTGAACATACTTTTCTCTTGAAGGTTTTTGAACTTTGAAATAAAGACGTAATGAAAACGGAGGAAAATCGTAAACCACATGTACTAAATATTATGTATCCCCTATTAGCAAGAATAAAATTTTTATCATTTTTATTGCCCCATACACAGGCAGGCATACGACGACCTCGAAGGTCGTCGTGCTTTTGAGGTTAAGTTCACTGGTGGTGATATCAACTCGCTCGAACGTTTTCTCTCTTCTGATTTTTTTCTTTCTTTCTTTCTTTCTTTCTTTCTTTCTTTCTTTTTTTTCTTTTCTTTTTTTTTTTTTTTTGTATCTTGAACGTGCCTGAGAAATTTGTCTCAATGAATATCATCGCACGGCATTTTCTATCGTTATCGAGAAAACGTGCGATTGGCACCGAGAGATTTATCGGAACATCAAAATTGTTCGTGAAAAACACCTGCTGTTACCCATTCGATCGCGTAAATCATCGCAAAAAGTCGTAATAATCGTCGGTTGCCGAATGCAATTAATGCATAAAAATATCGAACGTGGCTCGCGATTTCTTAATTTCACTTACAAGTCTCGCGTTACGAGGTTAACCACCAAGCAACTTTCTCATGCGGCCCGTACTTCAATACTTTCTGTGATACGTGCTGGTTTATAAAACAAGTTTGACGTGCATTTATCAATTACTGATCATTCGAAAATGTAGAATGAACAAGTATTGCTATTTTTTGTGTGTCAAGGATATATCAATCGAACCCTATGATTCTTTTTTTGCAGAATTCAGAAAAATGATTTTCCTGCGTTATACCTGCTTCTTAATCTCGTTAGGTAAGTGTTTTCATTGAGTAACGAAATTGTTACAAATATTTATAAAATTGTTCTATTAACATTGTAGTTACTGTACGGGCGGATTTCAACATTTCAACGCACGATCTTAAAGTGTTACTTTATCAAAGAAAAACTTTCGACGTATACTTGACGTATGTACCTTTAAAATTCAATATAGTTATATTTATTTTGCATTTCATATAAGGATGATCATATAAGGATATCACATTTTTATCCATTTCTGGTTGTATGTATGCCTCAGTAACTCTGATAACACTTTTCATGTACTTGCAGTAATACTTGATTAATGAACTTATATCATTTGATTAAGTTTATATCATTGATAAGTTTATCTCCTATTCATAATATCCGAATGATCATAAAATATAATGAGATTAATTTTACAGGAATTATACTGCATTAGAAAATATAACAGTAAGCCTAAATGTAAACCATAAGGATTTGATTTTGGTCGAGCCATCAGAATTTAATGTTATGTTGAATGAATCACATAAGATAAATGTAACGGGTATTGGTGCTGGACATTCGATTATCAGTCTGAACGTTGTACCTTCGGATGCTGTACAGTACGTATATAAGATAGATATGAAGTAATCGATGATAATCAAATGAAATCGTTTATAGAAATAGAGTTATCTTATATCTCTTATATTTTAGTTTTAATCTTAGATAAACTCAGTTTATTTAATTGGTAGTTGTATAACTTATTATATTATTTGTATAAACCCTTGCGATTCTCTTATAACAACATCTCTTATTAAGATATCGCGTTATTTTAAAGCTAATAGATTCCAAATAGATGCCAAATAGATTAATTTGTTTGACCGACAGTAGAGCTCTGTAACAATACCGCACTGTTTGTTTTCTCTGACTAAGCCTTCAAAAGATTCCAATCATTACATTTGCCATTTCAGTATTCAACCGTAGTTACATAGATAGCCTCTTGACCTGAGCTTGTCATCGAATCTGAAACTTGAGGTTCGATCAGTCTATGCCCAGATTTTGAGCCGTCTACTTCCTCGTTCTTTGTGCTAAGATGCTTCTATAGGGTGTCCCGTTATTTCGGTGTATACAAGTGTCAAAGTATTTTCCAAAAGAGCTATTAGAAAAAAATATTTCTGCGTGCCCAGTGGCATCACATTATATGACAATGACTGCTTATAAAGTAATCATTATACCTCAAGATCAATTAAATACCCTTAATGTGAAGTAAGAAAATTTCATTTAGTTTTATCGTAGAAAACGTTTAGTACTAATATAATAAAAATATTTCTAATATGTCGCGATTGATATCGCGAATGAACGATTATATTTTAAGTATATTATTATTAATCGTAATTAACGGCTATTTGTTCGTTTCGTTACAGTTTTTCGGAAGCATTCGTTAGAGTGACAGTGGAAAAGTCGGATACGATTTATCACGTTAGCATTGTAGTCGGATGGATATATTTCTTGGCATGGAGTATAAGCTTTTATCCACAGATATATAGTAATTACAAACGCAAAAGCGTCGTAGGTCTTAACTTTGACTACTTGTCGCTTAATATCGTTGGATTTATCATGTATGCATTGTTTAATTGTTGCCTTTTTTGGATACCAGAGATAGAGGTACATTCGCTATAATACGATTTATGATGAATATTAATTATAAACATTCATAAAATATCCAGAGAAATGAATTGATGGAAATTTTTCGTTTTTCTTTTTTTCTTTTTCTTTTTTCCTTTCTCCTTTTTTTTTTCTTTTTTTCTTCTTTTCTTTTTTTTTTTTTCTTTCTTTTTTTTTTAGCAAGAGTACTTTAATAGGTATCCAAAGGGATTGAATCCTGTACAAGTTAATGATATATTTTTTTCTCTACATGCAGTATTCGCCACTGTGATAACTATCATCCAATGTTTTATATATGAGGTAATTTTACGATAACGATATCGATAACGATTATTGTCAAAGTACAATTTTATTGGATTTTTAGGCTGGTTCTCAAAGAGTATCCACGACAGCGCGTATTATTCATGGAATATTCGCGATATTTATACTTATTTCTATGTTATTGGCCATAACGGTAGTAATTGCATGGCTCGACTTTTTATACTACTGCAGTTATGTTAAACTGTGTATAACTCTTATCAAATACGTGCCACAAGCGTTTTATAACTACAGGAGGAAGTCCACTGTTGGTTGGAGCATTGGAAATATATTTTTAGATTTCACTGGTGGTATACTGTCGATGCTACAGATGATATTGAATGCATATAATTATGGTAAATTATGGCATTTTAATAATTTAACCGACATTTCTCTCTTTTATACGTTGTTGTATTTTAATTAATTTATTATTCATATCAGACGACTGGGAGAGCATTTTTGGAGATCCAACTAAATTTGGACTGGGATTCTTTTCTGTAGCATTCGATGTATTTTTCATTATACAACATTATGTTTTATACAGGTATGACTTAGCTCTTAAAATATTACAATAATTGTTATATGTTTGGATTATTTTGTATATGCATGAATAATACTATATAAAAGAAAATAATTATTAATATTATTAACTGCATCCTGCATGTTAGCGAGTATTTATTGATACAATTGTTGTCGATCAAAGCTTAGACAAAACGAATATTTTCGAAAGGTCATTTAAGAATTTTTATCGCTTTATGAATGCATGAGTACCATTGTCCAATTAACTTGTAGAAAATAAATAAATAGGCAGAGCGAAATTATGAAGTAATCCATTTAAGTTATGATTTTTTAGAAGGTTTAACGTATAATTTATCAAATCTGGTACAAAAGCCGAAAGATTCGAGTTCACTGTGTGTTCGCCCGATTGAACAAGTAACAATTTCTTTTTCTTCGCTTGGCATTAATATTGTTCGTTTCTTAAATTTATCGGTAATTATTGAAATGAATATGCTTGGCAAGTGCTGTTTAAATGCTTCTCTTGTCGAATTTAATTCCATGTGCAAGCTAGGGAACAATTTTGATTTTACAGATTTATCAGTGAAAAAGAAATCGACCTGAATGGCAAAGTATAAGCAACATCTGTCAACGACATATTTTTAGCATCATCCAATAATCATCCATTATATCTTTCAATAAAATAAAAGATCGAACCATTAAGTAATCTATATAGCTAGAATAATGACTTAACGGTCGGTCCTAACAATGGAAATGCCTGAGCAATAAGGAAGCAAAAATCGTTTATTATACAGTAGAATTCATCTTATTTATTTTTGTGTTAGTATTATATGATTGCATATAAATGAAACGCGAAAGTATTTTGATTATAAATACGTATGATATTAACACAGTATTATATTATAAACGTTAAAGAAACAATTAATAGAGCTAGAATTTGTATTTGAGAAACGATGAAATAATGATGTTGTTTAAGGTATATAATATAAAAGAAAATGATATACGAATATTTAACAAAGTTAGATGAAAGTTCGAATAAATCGAAAATTGTTAAGTATACGCGATTAAACGTTTCTCTATATTTTATATTAATTTTTCTTTTGTTCTATTTTGGAAAAATTCTGTTTTGTACATTTATAACGAGATAAGTAAAATAAAAACATCAATATATCTGTCCCAGTATATTCCCTATTTATTCAAAACCGTTAAGAAAGAGAATGGTAATAGTATAATAATAGTATAAACAATTATTTATTTAGTGTTTAAAAAAAAAATTTAACATCTATTTAATGTTATGTTTGTGTGATATGCATGCGGCATGTATATATTTAGCATGTTTGTATTCAAATTTTCATTTTATTATTAGCGATTAAAGATCATTTAGTAATATTTTACAATAATTATTACTTGTAATTTCGGATTAGGTGTAACCGATATGACATTTCTTTGTGGAATTTGATCAAAGAGCGAAAAAGTTTATATATTAAAAAAAAAAAAAAAAAAAAAAAAAATAAATAAATAAATAAAAGAAATACGCCTCATTATAAATATGCTTTATTATAAATTCTTTAAATAGATAAAAATTGCTTCAATTTCCACAGGGACCGTAAAGACTATCTGGACATTCCTGGTGACTGTCATGAAGATTCACAAGAAGGCACTTCTAGCAACACGCTTGCCTAATGATATTCCATCTTTTCAATATCCTTTTTTTTATATATATATATATATGTATATATATATATTGATGCAATAAAATTATTTATTTATACATACGATGAGTCGCGCGAAAAGAAAGACTGTTACTGGAAATAAAAAAAAAAAAGAAACTACAAATATATAAAAGGCGCAACATTTTCATTCTTATTAACAAAAACACACACACAAAAAAAAAAGAAAAAAAAAAAAAAAAAACAAAAAAAAAACAAAAAAAGAAATTCATTTTGAGAGGAAATATACATTATTGCTTTATAGTTGCAATAAATACGGAAAAACACGCATACCATGCAAGAAATATCTGTGCTAAAGTTGCGATATTATATTTTTTAAATGTCGATATCTCGAACGTATGTCGACAGACTTTATCAACACGGATTCGTTGAACGGAGGGATCACGTGATCGCCTTGTGCGCTACATAGAACGTGTTATCGATTGCCGAATTTTCGTCTATTTAAATGACAGGTAAACTTACACGTAATATAATGTTGACAAATTGATTTTATGTTCATTACCTAAAATATACGTGAATAATATATAAATTTTCTTATATCTTTACTATTGGTTTAAATAATCCAATTCTTAGCGCACATAACCTCTTCTAAATATAATGCTATAAAGTTATCATACATTTATCTCATTGTTTATTTTTTCAATGTTTTTACGTTATGTTGTGAAACTCATAATGAGTTCCTGAAATGTTTTCTCATGTTTCAGAATGAATACATCCTTATTTCTGCGTATCTCACGGTTTAAACCAATTCTGGCTAGAAACTTGAATTGTTGGACAGCGGCTATAACAAAGAAACACCAGAATGTTTATGTAAATACGTATCCTACCATTCTTGTTCTCCCTGATGGAAGTAGCATAAATATTGAATATAATGAGCCAAGAAAAATAATTGTCCTTCCACTCAACATCTCAGAACTTTCAGAAGAACAACAGAGGATTAAGATTAATAGTCGCAGGTCAAAAACTAAGATTGTTCTAGTTGAGGAACAAGAAGATGATTTTGATGAAATGAAGTATATAAAAAAAATGAAGAAATGATAATTAAAAAAATAAAAAAAAAAAGAAAACTATAGTTGTATTTAAAGATTTTTACATATTAATAAAATGAAAAAAAGAATTGATGTAAAGCACGATAACATACAAGAAGAGTATTTAATGATTCACTTCCTTTTTCATATTTATATTACGTCGAATGTCGCGCTATTTATTGTAATTGCAATGAATGCTGTTATTTTTCTTTTTTTTTTTTTTTTTTTTTTTTGTCATACACATAATCTAACAGATGACCTTGCAGATAGATATAACAATTCAAATAGCACGAATTATATTTACGAAGTAGATATCGAGTAAATAAAATGTAGAGATAATTCAATAATATTATGTAAAATATGACCATGTATGAAATTACATGTTACAATTGTCGTGATAATTAAAAATTCCGTTATCTAATATCCGATATCTCATTGACCCACGAGCATATTTTATTTTTTGTTGCATAATAAACACTTTTATATTGCTCATTATTATCGAATGAACGAATAAATAAATTCAAATCAATCGATGACGCGCGCTCCACCAGAGGGATAAGTCGTGTTATTTTATATTTTATAAATAGAGCTATACACATCGAGCCACAAATCTTGGGAGTATTTTTCGTTTATAAAATTGATGCGTTTATTTACTCATTTCTTTCTTTCTTTTAAGAGATAGCCAAACAAAGATTGAAAACTTTCTCCATTTTACGTGTCCGTCATCTTCCTCTCTCTCTTACGTGCTCCGAGTCCGCGCTAACCACAAATAATTGTCGTACGTACAAAACAGAAAATAAACTTTCGAGTAAGCGCTATGATAATACTTGAGAGCTCGTCGTAATATGGAAAAGCGAAAGTAAGAGTCTAATGTAGGTGTCATTAATCGACGATAAGCCGAACCTTGCACTCTCAAGGAGGGAAGTAAAGATTTGTTCGCGTATAAGAAAGCATCTAAATGATTATAATGAGGTAATTGATTTTTTTAAGACGCTTCTTTTTTTTTTCTTTTCTTTTCTTTCCAGAAAAAACTTGTAGTTGTTATTACGCATATGTCGAATTTGAAATTGAAAAATGATCCTATCGAAATAATTGACTACTGGCACGTCCTCTGGATGTATATTACGTAATTACATACGATTTATCTCGGTCGATTTCACAAATTTTCGATATAATGCAATAGGCATCTTTGTATTTTCCAAGTTTCTGCGGGTAGATAAAGGTTTGCCCTGTCGTGATTTAATGCTTATGGGATTTTATGCATATTAAATATCGGAGCACTTAATTTTTTACTTTGCTTTCTAATGGAAAGGAAGACAGAAATAAAAGTGTTATATTTTTTATTTTTACGATTTAAAAATAATCGCTCGGAGAATTTTGTTGGATGATTAAGTAGAATTTGAGAAATCGATTAGCATCGTTCTTTGTGATATAATATTTGGTAATGCGCTATACATCACAATGGCAAGCACTTTCGATGACGGTGAAACTTTTCTATTGCGACAACTCGAGAAAATTCTGCGGTCTTAGTTAGGCAATGCAATGAAATATTCGAAGCACCTATATGGTGCCAAAATGTAATTAGTATTCGAGCTTGGCGAATCAAACGCTAATCTATTTCGTTCCATCGTCGAAAAGCAAAATGATCGATTAACATTGCTAGTAGAAATTGATTTTACCGATGATCGCTTATTCTTCTATAAGATTTAAGAAAATTATAATAATCGTGATAATCGGAACAATGAGATTAATGATTATTAATCATAAAAATCGCCAAGAGAAAGTGTTCTTACTCTTTTGAAAGATTGTTATTGTAATTTTGGAAATAGAAAAGAAAAGAAAATTTCTTTCGAATTCGATTATATTTGGAGAAGAAAACGATGTAGAAAAGGAAGAAGAGAAAGACGAAGAGAAAAGAAATGCATTGTGACGAAAGATCATCTCTAATGGATTGTGATGGTATTATCGATAGACTAGGTAGAGAGGAAATCATAGTAGCTGAGGCCATTCGCTTATGGCAGGTAAAGAGACGGTGTAACTTCTCGGTGGGAGTCAGTTCTGTTATAGTAGGCCACGAGGCAGCAACGACTCGTGTTCCTGCAGGCCTCGACTCTCTCTTTGCGTTCATCGAAAGAACTCGCGTTCGTCATCGTCTACGATCTTTCTCTTTTTCTTTTATCTAGAAAAAAAAGAGCAAAAAAAAAAAAAAAATAAAAAAAAAAGATAAAAGAAAAAAGAAAAGAAAAAAAAAAGATCTCGATAGATACGAGAATTAAAAGGAAAAAGTTTGGCCAGACGCGTAGGCAGCCATTTTGGAGAACGCGAAATTCGATCGAGGAGGATCGAGTGAAAGAGAAGAAAGTGTCCAAATGGAATTTTATCGATATACGATGACGACGATAGCCATTTGATAAAAAACACTTTCTTCCTCTTTTATATACGTATACATAGACATATATAAGATCGACGACAACTATTCGTTATCTAGGAAGTGAAAAGATCGAAATCGAGAAGATCAAGAGGAGAAGATTTCTCGGAAATGTTTTGAGTTAGTCTCGAGCTAAGGAAGCGCGTGCGTGCGTGCGTACTCTCCTTCTTTCGAAAGAGAAAGCAGACGTTCGTCGATCGATTTTTTCTTCTTCTTCCTCCTCCTCCTCTTCCGTCTTCTCCTTTTCTTCGAGTCGCTGCTCCTCGTATCGTTGATTTTTTAACCTCGAAAGAAATCTTGCGATTTTTCTCGAAAGAAAACGTAATTGACTTGAAATTTGCATTATACGACATCAAATTCGTTTAGATCGACTTTACGATTCGCATTTGTCCTTATATCGACGAAGAATGAAAAAATCCTGAAGGACACGACGACGTATCGTTGTTATTCCTTCCCGAAGATCTCGATTTGCTCGGTTATCGATCATCATCGACAATGGTACTTTGATGTACACGATCTATCGTTACTACCGCGCTGATCCATGATCCGTGCGATGATCGGCAAGACATTATTATTGGTCCTTTGGATACTTCGGTGGATCAACTTTCTCGGTAAGCCACACTTTTCTTCTTCTACGATATCGTATATGTGTACGTGATATAACTTGAGAAAATCTTTAGTTTTATCTATCGTTAATTAGGATAATTCCTGAACAGATTTTGTCGTAGATACGTACAAAAGATTATGCGTAGATAATCTGCGAAAGTATCAATGGCATATCCTTTAAATATATAAATCTCTGGGGCAAGGATGTTAAAAGTTTAAAGTCTAGATTAGCGGTAAAAATGTTAAACGCGGTCTAGGCCGTCGTTTTATTGCAATAGAGAGGATCCGACGAAGGAACGTGTGAATGCATACCCGCCTTGACGTTATTTTGCGAATAGTGAAAGCGCCGCACATTCACACATTCGTAAAACTCACCTACACTTCGATACATTTCAGATATATCATTAAATGCTAGTATCGAAATAATTTCTTCGTTTGAAGAAAAAATGTTTTGTTTTTCGTAACTTTTACTCGGCACATTCTTTCTGTTATTCATTATCTTCAGTCGCGTTCAATCAATTCTTAACAGAGAATTAATTGAAATTATTAAACCGATTAATTATCTTAGTTTATTTTACGTCACAAGCTACGTAGACAAGCTTTCACATGACATTGACCGAGAAAATGACATATCGTAGATCGTGATAATTAATCGTAGAAAGTAAGTTTGACCGATAAGAAAATAAAAAAAGGTAAATTGATCGAGTCTCTCATAATCGGACCAAGTGTAATGGCGTTATTTAAAGACTCCGGTACTTCTTCTCGAGTATATACTTTTCTGTTTGCGTATACGTGTGTATAAGTTCATACGCTCAGGTCCGTTCACTGACTCCCCACGGATTTGACCCTTTTTTCTTCACGAGCACACACGGTCCAGTCGCCTTTCTCCGGCCAATTAATTTCTCCCCGGAACATTATATAGTATTTTGGTGTGTCCCTGTGTGTGTGTGTGTGTGTGTCAGCGCGCGCGCGCGCGTGAGAGAGAGAGAGAGAGAGACAGAGGGAGAAAGAAAAAAAGAGACGTACTCCACGCTTCAAAGATCGCGTGTCTCGAAATTCGAGAGCACCGTTTACCTTACCTCGATCGCAATCGAAGTAACTTTTTTCGTGGTCCGTCTAACTTTTCGATAGTTTCACCATCGTTCCAAGTTGTATTATTTCTTAAGACTTTCGTTAGGACATTTAGTCTATTATTAAATTAACGTTTCTATGCAATATATATGCATTAGAGCAAGAGTTTCTTTGATGTTACAGATTTGTAGATTAAAGTTGATTTGAAAAAAGAAGAAAAGAAAAGAGGAAAAAAGATAAAGAAAAGTATCGAGAAAGGAATTATATTTGCTTTCGCAACGTCGCGAGATATGTCGCACGATCAGGTTTTGTGTAATATACCGGGTGATTGCATTTGTCTTATTTTTACTCTTCTTTTAAATTTATTTCGTTGCCGGGCAATAGTCGTTTCCTAGATTAAGAAATCTCGGGAATGAAATTATTATTACGATAGACAAGAGAGGAAAAAAGTAAAAGATAGATAATCACTTTCGACCACGCGATTACTAACGGAGGAAGAACGGTTCTTCGATTATCTAAAACTCTCCGTTATACTCTAATATTTCGTAATACACTTCGTTCCACGTTTTAATTCCGCCTGGACGAATAGTCATGAATAATTTCGAGGCAGTTCGAGCTCTCAATGTCAGGGCTCTTTGGTTTGATTCATTGATAAAAACGAATAAATGCTTTTTCTCCATAAAGTTCTTTCCTAATGGAAAAACATCAAAGTAAATGTCTCAAACTTTCTCGCGACGAAATGAGATTCCTTTGGTTTTTTTTTTTTTTTTTTTTTTTCCAAGCAGAAAAAACGAATCTCTTGAGGAGTTTATGTGGTTGGTACTAGCGTACGGAAATAGCACGTGAGAGCGTCGCTAAAAAATGCAACTCCCGTCCTCGTTATCGACATTTTCGTACAAACCACTCGACTCTTCCTCATTCGTTCTTCCGGTTAGAAATCTCCTGACAGTTGAGTCGCAAATAACATTAGAGCCCGTGTTTGATTACTCACGTCGTTTTTATTCGTTGGATTAAATCTCAAATTAATGTGCAATATGTGTTCGCATACACGATCGTAATAGACGATTTCTAATTCGTCTGGTATAGAACTCTGGCATTAAACTCTACATTCTAGGCGTTCTTTTTCATTTATTTCAAGAGTATCTCGTTTTGCAATTACGACGATTAGTACAGTAGTATTACATTTATGTATGTATATACGAAATTGATCGTAATTTAGTAGAATATATTTATATAAAAGTTATCGTTGCATCGTCGCACTTTATAGATCTGATAATGAAATATGCGTCCGTGCGACTTAGTTTCTTCGCAAAGTGAAATCAGGAAGAATTCGTTTCCGGACAACGACAAGTTCGAAGCTACGAACGTAAAGACCGAGACTAGACCTTGAAATGTAGAGATTTATTATGCCCGCGTTCACGGTGAAACGAGAAAGGCACGTACTAGTCTGTGTTATAGTCTTTAAGGATCGCCTGACTTTCATCGCGAACCCAGTCGCGTCCACTTTCAATGGGAATCCTTTCGGATGTAAATCGGAACAACTTCCTCTTTTAAGGAAAGAAATTTAACAAATTTAACACATATCTCTTTCTCGCTCCGTTCTTCTCTTGAAATAATGATAAGAAGCATAATAGCGTGAAATTTTTGCGAGGTTAATACTACGTCGGCACTGATGAAATTTTCGTAAATAGATGCCGATGACCTCAACTCTGACACTCTTAATCCGGAGATCACGTAACTGGGTAAACGACTACGTAGGTACTTACCTACTTCTGTGGAGAGGTCACAATGAGTGGTTACGGTTGATCCACTTTACCGTTTCATTCCTCCTCTTCTCGGTGCAATCATTCTACAGCGACTCGAGTGTCAAGAAAAGGGATCGATGAAAATCTCGGAATATTTTCGTAAATTAAAGTCCATAATACCTTTCGTACATATAACTCTCAGGTCCAGAAAGAAAGAGAAATACAGGTCGCGACGAATGGGTATGAGGTATGTCGGCCGTCTACCTCGCGATTTTTCTTATGTCGCTCCCTACATCTTTCTTATGTCAAAGACAATGAATGTAATTCAGCGTTATCGTATGTGTCTCCGTATACGTATAAAACGCATAGGGGACAGGAAGAAGATGACATGGTTTCCATGAATCTGAGGTTAGTGAACCTCCGCTAGCAGCCATCTCGAAAGATTAATATCGACGCAAAAGATTTCATTATTGTTTATCGATCGTTATCCGATCGAGTCGCGAACTCTTTCAACATTCTATCGTTGTCCTTGAAAAGCGAAAATCAATCGTCTTTCATTCCACGTGTTGTACCTTCTTCGGCTTCGATCGCTTGGTACGCTTTGACCGAGGGTGAACTACGAAATAAGAATAATAAATTCTCATTAAACAACGAGTATAATGATAGGAAGTCTCTCTTATTAAGTTTACCGTTAATCAGATCGTATTGTTTAAAATATCTTAAATCTTTCATAATATTTAGCTCCTAAAGCGACATCTAAACGTGCCGTGAGACATCAATTACACCAATTAAGATTCTAATTACACGTTCAAGTTGAATAGGACGAATTTTTGTTCGTTCTTGAAATGAAATGTTCTGATCGTCAATAAGAAGAAAACAAGAAAATTACTAGGTACGAACAGACTCGAATGATATAAATTAGACATTTGATTTGTCAAGGATTAATTCATCCGTCCATTAAATTTGCAACGAGCATAAAATGTGTCCCGCGTGATCCCGTTGCCGACGAGTAATAGTCGCGTTAGTCCAGACACGGTCTTTTGTCGTACCGTTAAGTCGTCCCTCTTCGAAGCTCACCCGACAGCGATTCGTGTCTCTTGTCACTCGGAGAATGGCCATGACCATTACCGTTTCAAAGATTACGAGGTAAAGAAACGATTGAATGATAATGAGCGGACGAAGAAGACCTCGTTTTTATAATACGTCTTTTTGTGGACAGCTAAGAAAAATAGAAATATCTATGATATGGCCTATTTGAGATAAATCTATTGACGTTTCACCGATTATTCTCGACCCGAAAAATCCATAAAAAATTAATTTTTATGAGATTCACGAATTATGCGTGAAACTAGGCGTTACGTAATTTCGATGACCATTCGCTTATATACATATTGACATAGAGACATACGTGCGTATGCACGGATGATCAATTATGGTTAACGAAGGAGAAGCAACGTTCTGGAGTGATTTCGCAAGTTTGTCTACGAGAGAAATTAAGGTCGAGATTATCATCGAGTGAGAAACGATAGAAATATCGTGTATGTACACTCGACCGTACAGTGTACATATATCATCTGCAATCTTCTAGTTGAAAATGAAATTGACGGATGAAGTTGTATTCGTCGTTCCGTTGATACGCTTATATGATCAGACACTTAGAAGATCTAACGAGTGTAACGTTAGATGCGGCTCGCTTTATTCGATAGAATCCTCCGGTGCAAATTATGTTATTTATTTAAAATAGGGAACAATTGGAAATTTAGGAAATGTCAATTTCTATAATTTTTGATTCTTAAGCGCGATTATTCGTCGGTGTGATTCATCCAAGGAACATATCCCCTGTCGTATAAACTCGTACGAGTTCTTTTTCTCCTAACGAGCGCAAATAAATCTGGGTCGTAAGTTCATAAGGATAGACGTATCTATGTACTCGGAAGAATCATCCGAACGTTGCATCTCCCTGAGTTGCTAAATTTCGTCTGCGATAAGATTTTTCCTTTCTTTCTCTCTTCTTTCCCAAGACTTATCTTTTGTTCCATTCAAAAAAGATCTTATGGTTTTCTGAGTTTTTAGATTTAGAAAGTTCTTCCTCTCTAGATTATCTCTTTCCAAATATACTCACATGTGTGCATACGTATGTGTATATATATATATATATATATACACATATACATATACATAAATATAATAAACTGCGACAATCATTCAATTCGCAATTGAGTTTCGCGATAAAAAAAATTCGATCGAAGATGCAAAGATTGAACCCAGTTACGATCCGTCGACGATTCCGCGAAGTCGAGACAATCGAAGATTGCTTTTCAGAGCAAAACGAGGTGGAAATGTCGGAGGTGGAATCTATAGATCGTGAAAGAAACTTATATCTCCTTTCAGGACGATCTTGTTCCGGGCTGAGTATTTAGGAGCGTTATGCTAATCAAAATAATTGCTGTCCGTGCAGCGAAGCGAGGACACCGTTAAAATTACTACCATTTCTTATTTTATATAAGAATCGAATAAAATAATGGACAACGCGCGTAAAAAGAAAGAGATTTAACTGTTGTAAAGGAGATGAAAATATTTTTTTAGGAGATCGCACGCTGGCCGAGGCATGGCCGACGAGCCTCGACGAGTCACTCGACGAGAGAAACGATGCAGAAATTTTTCGAGCAGTCGTCGAATCGATGAGGGAATGGTCGCTTCACAAACGCGAACGTCATAGAAGCAAACGGGAAGTGTCAAAGGTTTGTTACGAGGACATTGGCTGTTTCGAAGATACCGGACCCTTTAGCTATCTCGAGATGTTACCTTCACCACCAAAGGACGTTGGTACCAGGTGAGAGAAACTAGATTACGATTCTTTTTTATATCGTCTAATCTGAAACGATCTCTCGTCGATGATATCAAGCAAATTTCAAGATCAAGTCCGTACGTATGACATATAAAGTAACGAGGAGGTTCAACTATTACGTATACCAATCGTATGTTTCTGTTGAATAATCAGCTAGTCTATTATTTTCTATAACATGCAAAATTATTAGAAAAGGAGTAGTCTTGTATGCGTAAGTACGCGTAAGTTTCCCGCATCGTAATTGGAAAGTACTCGATTACCGTTCACTTCGATGCATCGAGGGAAGCAGCAACGAACGACATTCAATATCGTATAATACATCTTAATTCGTACTATCGTACTATTCATGCTATTTAAAAATTGTGTATACATTACGTATTGTATATTTATTAATTACGTTAATACGCGCAGATTCCTGGTTTACGGTAGCAGAAAGGCAAGATCGATACCTATGGAAGTACCTGCCGAAGATATAAACGATAACGCTCACCGTGCCATAGATCCCGATCTACCGACCAAAGTTATCGTACACGGCTTTGGATCTAGTTGCGATCACGTGTGGGTTTACGAGATGAGATCGGCGCTAATGACCGTTCACGAGTGTAACATCGGTATGTGCATCGATCGGAAATCAATTAAAACGATAGCTAAACGTTAAATTGTTCTTCTACGAGTTAGTTTTGTTCGATGAAGAATCTACTTCGTAGACGCACGTAGTTTCAATTACTCTTCTAGATCGTTTCAACATTATTTCGAAGAAAGAGAAAAGATGAAATAATGGATTTTGCTTTCGTTCACGTCCAGTGTGCGTAGATTGGGGCCCAGGAAGTGCCGTGCCAAATTACGTTAGAGCAGCAGCTAATACTCGACTGGTAGGACGGCAATTGGCCAAATTGATCCGTAACTTGGAAGTTCCCCAAGAGAAGGTACATTTGATCGGCTTTAGCCTTGGTGCACACGTAGCTGGTTTCGCTGGAGCAGAACTTGGAAACGTTTCTAGAATCACCGGTAGGTAAATCGATCCTTTTCTTCTTCTTCTTCTTCTTTTTTTTTTCTTTTCTTTTTCTCCTTAACGCAGACCAATCAACTCGATGCCATTTTCATTTCTTTCGAAAGCTGACTCGAATTGATCGAATTGATCGGTATTCATTTTACCTTTCTCACGAATTACATTAATTAACATTGTTACGAAATGCGGCAGATATGTAGTTCACGATCGGATAAATACGTTCACTTCTGTGATCTTGTACAAGAAATGACACCTTCGCAGGTAGAGTCGAGGCAGAATTATCCGTGAAAGATCGATGACAATAACTGTAGAGGTAGTGAAAATTTTGCATCGAAGTATTTCAAACTGCTCTTTCGAACGATTAATAAATACCACTGAAGAAAAAATGAGAAAAGAAAAAAAAAAAGGAAAAACTAATTAATCAATCCACTGGAAGATATGTAAAGTTAATCTATAATAATATTCAAAGTAATCCGTTTAAAAGTCATACTTTACGCAAGTCCAAGTGAACGTGGCTGTTAATCGATCAATTTATAACCCGATGAAAGAACTGTAACAAGGTTGTGATCGTTCGTTAAATCATAAATTTTCTATTAGATTGAAAATATATACGTTACCGTTTAAACGAACAACAGGGAGTAATTTGTTTTACGTATTTATCAGGATTGGATCCAGCTGGGCCACTCTTCGAATCTCAAGATCCCAGAGCCCGATTGGACGAGACAGATGCTAATTTTGTCGACGTGATACACAGCAATGGTGAACAATTAATACTCGGAGGACTTGGTTCTTGGCAACCAATGGGTGACGTTGATTTTTATCCCAATGGTGGAAGAATGCAAACTGGCTGCTCAAATATTTTCGTCGGAGCTGTATCCGATATCATTTGGTGTATGCAATTTTTTTTTCTTTATGCAAATACATACACAGAGATAAGTAGAAAAAAAAAGAAGATGCGATACAATCGCAAAAAATTACTCGTTCATATTTTCAAAATTGATAGTCGATCGAACGCCCACGCGTACGTTGTGCAGTATAGATCGGCGATTAGAAAGCACAACTGTCCATCGTCTTTCTTTTCTTTTCGCTTCTCTTCTATTTCGAATCGAGAGTATCTCATTACCTCCTACATGAAGGAAAAACAGCTTGGATATTTCTTTTATGAAGAAAGTGGGTCGTATAGTTATACGAGTCGACACTTATTCGTCGTTTAATTTATTCGATAAATGACGGTGCTCGTACGATTCCACTCCATTTGTTGTTGAACAAGCGCTTCTAATTCGACTGATCTCTTACGATGAAATTAATATTTTTTGATCAGCTGCCCCGGTTGAAGGTAGATCTCTCTGCAATCATCGGCGTGCTTACAAGCTCTTCACCGATTCCGTCAGTCCAAAATGCCGTTTTCCTGCGTTCCCCTGTCCTCGTGGCTACGATGGTCTTCTAAAGGGTGATTGTTTTCCTTGCAACTTTAATGGCGAAGACAGGCCTTGCGGTGACATGGGTTATTACAGCGACAAATTGCCAGCCAGAGGTCAGCTTTATCTAATAACGAGAGATGAAGAACCATTTTGTGCTCATCAGTACAAAGTGAAGGTGTACAGTAGCCGCGGCGAAAGGCCAACCAGAAGTTATGGCAAATTGCAGGTGAATTGTTTCGCGTATTTTCATCGGACTCGTTCGATCATCCGATTTTTATTCGTTTTATTCGAATATTTCGAAGATCCGATAATTATTATGATATTACCTGTAATTAATGAGAAATTAATTAACCCATTCAGATAACTCTGATCGGCGAGGGATCCTTCAACGAGAGCTTTGCCATGACACGAAAAGATGAAGAACTTCTAGTGGGAGTTACGCTTCAAAAGATCGTTGTTCCTCATCCGGCGGTAACTAACATAGAATCCATCGAGGTATAGCCGTAATCTTTTCAATATAATCATATTCTAACGTGATAAGTATTAGCAAGTTTTCATATACGAACTTTCGACAGATCAAATATACAGCGTACAGTGGATGGTTATCGTCAGGCCTGGTTACTTGGAGTATAGACAAGGTAGCGTTGGTCGATAGCTTCGGTAAAACATTATCGATATGTAAAAAAGGTTTAATCCTTGAGTCTGGACGAGCCAGTCATCTACCGCTCTACCCAGGTGATTGTGAAGTACCTGTTGAAGGAGAAAACATTACAAGTCCTATGATAGTTCCATTGGAACGCATGGTTCAAGACAGACAAGGCGGTATAGGTCCTTTCACGAAGGATCAGAATTATGATATTAGAAATGCTTATTCTAATGAGTTCACATCGAGGAAGAAACCTAACTCGAAGGGCGTTGGTCCGTTCACGAAGGAACAAAATCTTAGATCGATCGAAGGATCCAACGAATATGAGAACTCTGACGATCCTCCTGACAATTCTTGGAAAATCGTTGATATTTCGAACGACGCCGAGTCTAATTCTTTGGATAATAGCGAAACCGAAGGTGGAAGAAGTTTTTCCGGCTCGAATTTTATCGAACGAGTTTCGCCATTCACCGAGATCACCGCTGAAGACGTCACAACGAAACAATACTTGCCAGAAATTCGAGAACCCGTGTTACGTTCTAACAAGAAAGAATCTGGAAGATCTCTAAAATTGTCTGAGATCACCGAACCAATTTTGAGACCACGCTCGATGAGACAGAACCTAACTAATATTTCCTCGGACGAAGACAGACAAGACGACGAGATTCAAGAGACCTCGTCGACGTCTACCAGAGGCTTCACCGTACAGTTTTTACCAGAAAGATTAGCCGGAATACTTGCACAAGCCGAGAAATATGCCAGGCAAACGTTGTTGCCATTGATTTCACAATATACACCTAGTTTTGTGGGTGGTTTACCACGTCTAGAGGAACCTAAATACTTTCCACCGTTGGGCGATAGGATGGATAACAAAGAGTTTGTCGAAAGTACAGTAAGATCGAGGGACCAACATGCAAAACAATTGGATATACAAAAAGAGGGCGTCGAAAAGAGTGAAGAGAAGGACGGGGATGGTATTGTCATTGATCAAACGAGCTCACTGAATGGCATAGAAAATAAAGAGGATATTAACGTAACCGTAAAAAGAAATGAAGGTAACGAGTGGGTGCCGATCAAGGAACCGGATGCCGCGATATCTCGGAGAAACTCTAACCTGTCTCGATCTTTTGACGAGAAGGATCAAGAGATGGTTGCTTCGACGAAAAAATTATTAAACGATTGGGTACCGATAACAGAGAATATACGCCAATCGACGGATAATCCTGTTAAAGAGGATCTTTTAGGATCTACGAGTTCTTCGACGGATTCTGAGGATTCTATAATAATTACTGAAAGATCAACGTCCGACGATCAAACGAATGACGAACGTAGGTTCATACCATTGATAGATTTTGAAAATTCGAGCGATTTTTTTCCGTCGACCAGCGCAAATGAGATTGCTGAGTCTCGCTCAACGAGTAGCCCAATGGTTTACACGTCGCACATACAGAAGATTCCAAGGTCGACTTTGGACAAGAAGAGGGAACCTAAAACATTCCCAAGGAGAACGATGATCTTTCCTTACGCTTACGAGAGAAGAAAGGACCCAAGAACGAGGTACATACCGTTGATTCCCGAGGAGGACATCGGTAGATCCATAACGTCCATCGAAAGAGATCGTTGATGATCTATCATTCGGCCATAACTAGATTATTACGATCCTAAACTATACCTAAGATGTTAAATTCGAGCGTTAAACGCTCGTTCACGCTCGTTCAAATACGTACTTGTTGATGTTAAAATGAACGCAAGTGCCGATTAATAATAATTTTTTTATCGAAAGAGAGCAAATTTATTTTTTTTTTTTTTTTTATTATTATTGTTATTTATTTATTTTTTTTTCTTTTCTTTTTTTCTTTTTTTTTTTTTTTTTTCAAATGGCACACTAGACGCGTTCATCGATCATATTCCATTCGCTTCTTGCGTGTATCATTATAGAAATTATTATATTTGTATTATTTCCATACGCGAGAAGAAGACAACTAATTGGTCCTTTCCATAATTTTATAAACTTGCGTTCGAAAGTCGAGATATGCGAACATTCATAGATTGATTATCACCAACTTGTTCATTATATTTCTTCAAAAGTGATTAGCTACTAGTCTGCCAAACGATCGATAAAACGACCAAGGCCTCGTCGTGACCACTTCGAGAACCTTTATTCTGATAAAAAGAATATTTGCAAGACAATCCACAGGGATATTGTTGTTCTACTTTTTTTCTCTCTCCCTTTCTAAGACTACGTTTTTCATTACATTTTTTGTTAACTCTTTATCGTTCATCAATGAAAAGAAAAGTTTAAACGACCAGGTCGACGATACTCGATGGCTTTAGAGAAAGGCTATAAAAGTTATTTGTTTGTCTTACTTTCTTTCCTTTTCTTCTATTTTCTTTTCTTTTGGTAAAAATTGGGAGTCCTTAGTTTTATTACTCTTGTATATAGGAATCTTTACAATATAATATAGTTTATCTATATAGAGCTCCACCAAAATTCTCTCTTTCACTTATTACCGATTAATTGTTATAACTATTATTATCTTCGTCTCACCACACCATTTCTCATTGTTTACTCGACTTTTTTTTCTTTCATTTTCATATCATCGCACATTCATACTCGACGGACGTTCGTCGAAAAACTTTTGTAACGCCTTTTCATCACTCGTCGTAAAAATGTCTGTGTTTTGTAACGAGATTTATACGTATTCTATGTTTTTACTTAAAATAAATAACCCTTTTTCTTTTCTTTTTCTTGAGAAATGCGTCTCTCGGACCACCGATACTCTCTTCATTCTTTCTTTTATACATACACACATACATACAAATACTCGTTCCTATTTTTACAATCCATTTTTTTTACGATGAACGAGAATTTCAGGATATGTCCATTCCCGATATGTCCGCACAATTAATAATAAAAACCTAACACGTTCGCAGTCCATTCGTCTCGATTCTTCAGGTACCGATTGACGCGTCGTGTAAACAAAAACATCAACGACATAAACAAAGAAGGAAAGATATAAAGAAGGAAGGAAAAGAAGCAAGAAAGGAAATGAAGGAAATTCTGCAAGATCGTTGCAGTCCACTGGTCGAGGAAGAGACTGCGAATATCGAGAGACAAAAATTCAACCTACTATTTTCACTCGCTCATTCGCTCTATCTCTCGTTTACAAACAATATTTAACAAACGCGCAGTCTTATCAGGTAAAACCCGTGAACGAACTTGAATAAGTAAAAACGTGTTTATGTTTACGCATGTTTGTTTTATCGTGTGTGCATATATATGCATGTGTGTGTGTGTGTGTGTGTGTGTGTGTATATAGTCTATCGATTCTATTTAAAAAAATTTGGTTCGACTCGTCCTATAAGAAGTAGCGCGACGAAACGATTGAACGTTTAAGCGATTTCACAGCTGCACTATTGTAATCAACGCGGATGCTTTTCATTGGACGCAACCAAGGACCACCGCATATGACCTGCATTCTAATTCGCTCTCTCTCTCTCACTCTCACTCTTTGTATTCTCGTATAAATAATCCGTATCGAAAGAGAAAGAAGAAAAAAAAAAGAAAAGATCACTCTTACATCCTATGCTCCTTATCTATCGAATTTCTAATGCCCTAAGTTTCTCTTCGATTTAACCATTACGACGTACAAAAGATAAGGCCGCCACATTTAATTACACTGACTAGATCAGTTTCATATGTTTTTTTTTCTTTCTTTCGTAAACGATTCATTCACTCGTTTTCATTCATTCGTCCTCTTTTCACCTCTCAACAAAAATATTCAGGACACGGATTTTCCCGCCAACAAAATATAGTATATATATATATATATACACATATATATATATATACACACACACACATATGTATATATATATATATCTTCCTTTCTCTCGTCCTGAGTATACTAATCTACGGATATATCTTACTACTTTAACGATCGGGCACAAAAAGATCGACGAGTCTCAGCTATCGATTTTCGTCGAATTTCGACGAATCTTTTTACTGAGGCTCATCCGCGGAAGTACTTAGAAGAACTTAGGCCCTGGCGAAGTTCTTTTTGAAAATCGAAGAAACACGCGATCGTCTATCTATTTGTGTGTATGTATGTATGTATATATATATATGTATATATATATATATATATATATATACATATAATGTATATACATTGTAAAATTTCTCTTCTTTTTCGTTTGTTCGAAGAATCGTTCCTTCTTCTTGAAGAAGAACGACGAGGAGTTAAATAAAGCTCGCAGAGACTCCTAATGCGATCCCTCTTTCGATCCTTTCAATCGATCTAGGCGATTTAATGATCAATCATATACGTGATCTAGGAAGCTCAATCACCGATCCGGTGTTATCGTCCTTTTTCCTAAAGGTTCAAACTGTCTGGATCTACATACGTGCGGAAGGACGGAAATGGATATATACTAGGAACTGCGAGGCACTGCAAAAAGATAAGGGCGTGAACAGTGCTCCTCCTTCCTCTCGCACTGATCTCTATTATTTCAAGATAACGTTTCTATTGCTTTATCCTTTCTTTCCTCGATCGGTGCACGAATATGGATATGTATATACTGTACGTCTGGTCAAACATGCAAATGTTTTGCAAACGCATAATTCTATTATATTCATAGTTGATTAGTGTGCGTCTAAGGTTTACTATGAATAAACGATACTAGAAAATATTACCAAAATCGCATCAATTTTCGAATGAACGAAATTTTGAGGAAAAAAATTAGGCCATCATTTGTAATTTTGTTTAAATAAATGACGAAAATATTATCGATCTATCCGAACGGGAAACAGACATACCATACATAATCAAAAGAGTTTAGAAACGAGCCTAGTGTTGCGCATAAGAGATCTCCGACACTATCGATATTCTTCTTTGTAATGAAACTTGAGTGATCACGTTCGCGGTGTTTTTATGTAGATTATCAAAAACATCACAGTCGGGTTCCTAGATTTATTAGTGTGACACGATATAAGCATACGTCACACTAGGATATTTCTCGTTTTTTCGTTTCCTTAATCATATTCAGTGACACCTATTATGCGCAACAGAGCGTGCTCAACTATTTGAAAAATTCCCTCCTCTAAATATGGTATATATATATATATATACATATATATATATATCATGGAAGTATCTTTGAAAAATAAGAAACTCTAAGTAACAAAGGTCCCACGTTTTAACAGATTCGATCATTTCTTATCGAAAAGAGGCAATTTGCTGCGAACAGCTCCCTCGCACACGACTAGCCTCTGAGCTGCCGAAATACTACACAATGGAACTGGACCCTCCAAGCTTGCTCTCAACAAGCTCATCCTACTAGGAGCAACCGAATCGTGATCGCAAAGTCTCAGACTACCTGCCGTTGCCTGTTTCCTCTCAAAATACTCGACTATCTTTGAAATTGTTTTACTAGACGATCCAATCCCGCTCAGTCTATCCTCCCAACAAGAAGAATCTCCACCGCCTAGACTGGCTATATCTTCGGAAGAATCCGTGTATATCGAACTGGTTCTATGATCGTCCAGCAGGAAAAGACTACTGGCAGCAGAGCTGCTAAGGGTCGACGTGTGTCGACGATTCGGTGGCTCAGGGCTGAGGTCTTCCCCGACGCAACTCCAGAAACCTGATTCGCAGCTACCTCGTCTTCTTGGTTCCCAGCCATCTCGGAAGAGAGGATGAGCGAAAAGACTAGCCGCGCCGACTTTCGTAGCCACCTGTAAAATGATATTCTTGTCTAACGTAATCTAACCCAGGAAATCTCGATGATATAAGTCATTCTAGTAGCATTTGTCGATTATACTACTTTAGAATCTGTATATACCACCTTGGCTAATAGGATTCTAATCCTTTGAAAGTGAACAAATTCCAGAGGAGATTTATTAGAGAAGAGTTGCATACCTTCCTTTCCCATTTCTTTCTCGCCGTAGGACTGCTAGGTTCCGAATTAGGCTTCTTCCTATCCAGGATTTTGGCGATACTATCATTCTGCGCCGGTTTGAATTTACTAACGCCGTCGGTAACGCTCGGCCTAACATCTTCGAGCGATGGTAACTCCAAACAACTGGAAAAAAGGTCCCCCAAGATCTTCTTAACGCCGCCCAACGCGTGAAATGGATTTGCTGTCATAGGTCTATAATGTGGATCTCTTCGGCTAGCCAGCTCAGCTACTCTTCTCGATGAATGACATCTAGCTTTGTCCGATGGCGTCGCGTTATCGCAACCTCTGGCATCAGCGGATTGACTTCTAAGTCGAGCTGTCCTACGTCGCATCGTACGACCTTCTCGAACGATTTCATCCATGCTCGACATTAGAGCTGGATCGGCCGATTGCCTATTACTTATATTGCTTTTAGATTCCTCCTCGTAATTACCGATCATGCTGTCAAGACTGGACATGATCTCTGGGAAAGTTGGCCTCGATTTAGGCTCGTACTAAAAGTAAAAATCACTGCTTATCTAAACTGTGACAAATTATAACAATTTGTGAAAAAAGAATTTGAGTAAGGCGTATGTTTGTCTCCTCGACGTTTTTAGCTTTTTTTTTTTTTCGAGAGAGAGAGAGAGAGAGAGAGAGGAAAAAGAGTAGCAGCTATAAAAAAGAAAATATCAACAACATAGAAAAATTATAACGATGATGGTAATAAGACGCATAATCTAGTAATACTAAGCAGCCAGTTAAATCAGACTCTCTTAAAATACCAGCGTATATACTTTATTTCCGAGTTATTATCTACGTTAATCTTATTAATCGTATTACGTAGAGGAATATATCCAGATGCCAAGAACCGTAACAGTGGCAAACATATACGTTACTCCATCGCAATCTTAGCTCGAGATACTCACGGTACAGCAATCGAAGGCTAGCTGCAAGAAGGCAGGTGGTGGGTCGGCAGCCGCACAGATCTCCGCCACGGCCAGATAATCGAGGCCAAAGTTATCTGAGCGTGGTAGAACGTCTGGATCAGCAGGAACGCGACCGATCAACTCGCAAACGACGATACCAAATGAGAAAACGTCTGATCTGTGATCGTACCATTGACCCTTCAAACATTCCGGTGACATCCAATAAGGACTGCCTACTGTGCTCAGTCTATAACCCGAACTAGGATCTGGTATCTTAGCTGCTAATCCAAAATCACCGACCACAGCAGTCATCTCCATCGTATTCTCGTCCTTCTTAATGAGGACGTTCTTTGAAGTTAGATCGCGATGAAAGAGGCCGCGGCTGTGCAAATAGGCCATTCCACGTGCGACATCTCTTGCAAGATTCATGCGTATCAGGTGGGGCAACGGTGTATGCCGTGACATTATCAATTGCTCCAGGCTACCACCGTTTATGTATTCCGTCAAGGCATGTAGTTGACCCTCGTGAACGCAGACTCCCATAAACCTATATGGAAAAAAAAGAAAAAAGAAGAAAAAGAAAAAAAGGAATATAGAAAGATGCAATATAATGGAGCAATTGGAAATTTTTCTTTTTTTTTTTTTTTTTTTTGTTGTTGTTCTGTTTTGAAACGTACAGACTATTCACTTTTTTTTCTGTTAGTAATCTCTTCTACGAAAGAGATAACAAAGAAAAAAAAAAAAAAGATAGGAGAAACCGTTATTGATTTATTCGATAAACGAGATAATTAGGATATAGGACCGACTTCATGCCATCGAAGTCAGTTCCTCGAAAGAGAATTACGTCGAGTTAATCGGATTAATTAAGTTACTTTCAACGTTTTCGAAAGATTTCTTAAGCCGATAGCAATGCACCTACGTTAGAATCTATTACTCGTACGTGTAAATCTTGATAACAATACGAGCAAGCTGAAGCTGTTTAGTATTGAAATTTCTAATCTATTCGCATTCTAATTTCGTTGGTATCCAGAAACGGAAGGAATCTCCCGATGC